ATATAAAGAATCATATATACTAGTTGCATCAGGAATGAATTTTAAAGTAACTCCCCAACTTTCCTCTGATTACTTAGATGATATTTCATTAATGAACTTTATTACACTCATTCAAAGAAAGTAATGACTTATTTAATTTAAGATGGAACAATAATTTAATAAAAGTAAAGAATAAATCCTAAATTTGCAATTAAAGTAAAGTTAATATTTTTAAAATAGAAATAATAATTTATTTTCAATATGTTTAGTAGAAAGATCAATTAGTTGATTTTGATATTCAAACTCAAACAAAATGTAAAAGGATTGAAATTTCAATAATTATTTTAGTTCGAAATATTACTTTAATATTTATTAATTTTATGAATTTCTATACAAAATTACTTAGATTAGGAAGAACTGACTTTTGATTCTATCGCATTTAATTAATCTTTTACAAAACTAGACATATAGGAATATATCCCAAAATAATAGTTCATAATCTTCAAAATAATTAAGAATTTTGTACTTATTAAAGAAATGAATAACAAAATCAATTGAGATTCTGCTGAATGATTGTTCCACCAAAATTATGATTAAGAATTACGTTTTAAAGGAAATGAAAGAAATTATGTAAATAATTTTCCTCTATGTTGAAAAAGTAAATTGTAAATTTATGAAATATTTCTTCAATTTACAGCACACACTTTATTAATATACATAGTAAATTATTCAAAAAAAGATCAAAATTAAAAAGAAAATTGCTTTGTTTTTTGAATATGCTTTCTCAAATATTCTACGATGTATAAATTGATAATAATATATTTATCATAAGAAATTAAATGACTTTATATTTCATTCTATTATTCTTGGATTACCCATTTCTAATGTTTACCAACGGAAATTGCAAATATTAGAATAATTAAGAATTAAGGGTAAAATCAATTCTTCGAAGTTATTACAAAGATGTAGCATCTGAATCCAATGGAGCAATAATTTCAAGTGCGAAATTTAATAAATTTTATGGAATCTCCTAAAATATGAGCCCATTGAGAGATTCCATTTATTCTGTTGATCATGATAATGGGCATATTGTTACAAATTCCTCTATTGTGGTTTCATTTGCATCAACACAAGAGATTAATTAAATAATTGTCTGGTTCTATGATCTAGATGGTAGAAAATTTAATCCTAAAATAACTGTCTAAAATAAAGACAACATTGAAAAAGTGGTTTTTGAAGATTTATTAGTGTAAAGTATAGTCAAAATTAAATTTCCAGATCAAATGGTATCAAGCATAAAATTAAGTTATATGGAAGGTGGTACATTAAATGATTTAGTTATAATAAAAATTTAAGCATTTTATGCAAGAAGAAATTGGACATGATTTTGAATATATGGTGATTGTTTTAAATTAGAAATATTATTTTTATCAAAATTTTTAACCTGCACACTTATTATTAGTTATCGAAATTAAAACGACGCGCAGTTCAAGTCTATTAAATGATAAGTTGTCTTCTTTCTATATAGAAATGTTTAGGCAGACAAAAAATTCTTGCAAACTCCTTTAACTTTCATTAATATTAATAAATTAAATAGCAATTTCAATTTTAGTGTGTACTTCTCCAAATTTAATGCTTAATCGATCAAATTAAATTCAATTGCGGAAACAAAATATCGTGTTGAGTTGATATAAAATTATTAACAATTAAGTTTTATTTTAATATCAATCAAATTATGATAATTTAATTAACGTTTTATAATTGAATCTAAAAATCCACTTTTTGAAGTATTGAATAAAAGGAAAATAGTTGTTTATTTTCTCTTAGTTTTAATAAACTCCCTTTTTCTTTTCGTTTAAGGATTCTTAAGATTTTATCTAACCATATCAATATAGGAATATATTGTAACAATATTTTCCAGACATAATGAACCTTATTTGGATTAAAACAATAGATCAAATTCTATTATCAATAAGAATTTTGCAATTTTTTTTCTTTAAATATAAGGAACTTATGAGATTGAACTTGCATTTCCTTCATGTACTTAAGCTATTAAACTTAGCCATTTATAAACACTTACATTCTATATATAAATAATATCAGATTAATTCAATATTTATATTTTTTGCTCATAAAAGAGATGCTTTGAAAAAGATTTTAAATATTGATTAATTTCTGATTGAAAGAGTAGTCGGAAATATCCTTAATACTCTAAATTTCTGTATTCTTATTTACAAGGCCAAGCATAAACCTGATAATGATATTATTAGAAATAACTTATTATTAAGATTCATTTATTGCTTGCTAAAGCATGTATGATATAGGATGATTATTTAAAAATTGAATTTATTTACTATAAATTGAATTACGTCCAATTCTAAATTTACTTTGTAAGTATTCCCTTTTCTTTCCGATTCTACTTATAAATAAGTTCCTGCCAATTGTTATTTAATTTTTTGCTATAATCAGCATCTTCAAATGGCAAATCACATAATTTCATTTTTCAATAATCTTCATTTAATCAGATCACTTCTTAACTGCAGGCTCCAAGAAACTTAAGATGAGAATTTGTGGCATAATTAATTTTTATAATGCTATTAATTAAGTATATTGTTTACATTCCTTAAACAATTTCAATTAATATTTATACCAATCTTTTTAAATAATGTTCGTAAGCATCGGTATACTCTTTTTCTTTCAAATATTGGCCATCATTAAGAAAATGTATCCAAATATTTTTTTGTTGTTTATATTAATTACAATGATTATTTCTGGATTATATTCTGGATTACAATTATTTACATTATGACATTAAACCCTAAAAATAGAATATTTATTTTAATTCTATTGATATATAGATCTGGGTGGTTACTGATTTAAAGTGATTTTGTTTTTTATTAAATAAATTTAGTTCAAGCAGAAAATAATGATGAAGCCTGCCTTAATCTCTTGATTAAAGAAAGTTAAACATAAATATTTACTTTTTTTTAAGAATGGTAATCGATATAAATCGAATCAATTAATTGAATTCTCTCTTATTTATTAGTGAGTCATTATTCAATAGAAAATATGATTTTATCGGTTACAATCTAAAATTTCTCTAGCTAGGATACATCATATAGATTTCATCATTTAAAAACTCATTCTTAGTTGTTAAAAAAAACTATTTTGATGAATATGAATTTTAAAATTAAATCATATTAATGAATAAATATCTTGTATTATTAATAGTAGCAAATAGAAATTCTATAATTTAATTTTGCTGAATTTATCTCTAATTATTTAAATAGATTTTATCTCCTTATAATTGTAATTCCCATATTCAAGTAATCAGGTTCATGATTATGAGATACAAATCAACATTTACTCTACCTTTAGTTTAATCTTTAGTAAATGCATTAAAGAAAGCAATTATATTAGTTTTTTATTATCATCTAATTGATTCTAATAAATGAATTATATAAATGTAGAGCCTTAATAAAAGCATTTGAGCAGCTTTTTAGGAAGTAGATGAAACGTTCAAATATTGTGAATATTTTTTTCAGAGTATTCTTTATAACTATAACCAAAATATATGAAGAGACTTGTTTTATTCAAACCCATGTTCTTTCAAGATAATAATTATTCCAAATTTCTCATAGAAAGAGTAAGTAATCTTGTTTATTTGTGTTTTTTTATCAATACTTAGTTGTATACTAGAGCCCTATCAAAATTTATTATAATTACCAAAATTGAATATAGGCATTAATAGTTATTTGTAATAAAAATTCAATATTATTTTTAGAAGAACATGAATTGCACTCATCATATTCTAAATCAAGTATAAACAATTTGCATAGCTCCTCATCAATGTAAATGTTAAAGGAAGCTTTGCCCTGAATGCCAAGATGAACATGGAGTGGATGTTTAATACATAGTTTCGATGAAAAAATTTCAAGATATATTTATGAAGAAATTAAAAGAATTTACTCTTGATGATGCCTATAAAATAGTTAAATAGAGAATGAATTTTCAATCAATGCTGTCTTCAACACTAAATATGCTAAAACAAATTTTTGATGAATTAACAAAATCAATAAATTAGATATATGATTAGTTTGAGTTGGAAGATAAATCTTACATGAATTACATTAACAACTATGTGAATCCTGTTGAGTTGACTAATGCTGAGTTAGAAAAATTAGTCTAAATTATTATAGGAAAACAATTAGATGATTTGAATATTTAGAAAAACTCTTAGTTGAAGAGGTTGGAAATGGTAAAGCAATAATGGGAAATGGAAACAAAGGAGTTTTGTGATAAATTGAGTAAAGAAATGAAGGGGATTAACTAATTAATTAAAAAAACTGATAATTCATAAGAAAACATTCCTGAAATTAAGTAAGTTTATAACAGAAGGGAAGATATGTATTAGGTATTGACTTAGACTAGGTATTTTGATGGATCCTACCTTTATGAGCTACATAAGATACTTAGAAATAATAATATTACTAATTGTTTAGAGTACTTGTAAAGTAAAACTCAATTGAAATTTATAGCTTCTATGATTTAAAATATTAGCGAAATAGATTTTAATAAGAAGAATTATTCAACTGAGAACTATGATTAAATTAGAAAGGACTTAAGAAAATAAATATCTTATGATTAGTACATAATTGAATTTTTGAAATTCCTAGTACTTCTTACAGCCATTGACGAGAGATTTATCTATAGCGGATCGAACTCACTCAATTTATTAGTAGAAATGAAAGTGGATTTGAGAGAATACAACTTTGAGAATATAAGGATTAGAGATACATCTTTGGTTGGTGGAAATTTTGTAAGATGCAATTTCAATGGATCCAATTTTGAAAATGTTGATATAAGTGGAATGAACTTAAATGGAGCTTAAATGCTCAATTGTAAATGGAGAAATATAAAAATACATGAGTTAAATTAATTGAATGGACATGATAGTTAAGTGTACTCAGTCTGTTTTTCTCCTGATGGTTCTACGTTGGCATCTAGTAGCGGTATTATTTGTGGTGGAGGTGACTGTTCTATCCGTTTATGGGATGTTAAGAGAGGATAATAAAAACTCAAAATAGAGTATCATTAAAATGTGGTTAGAACGCTTTGTTACTCTCCTGATGGTGCTACATTAGCATCTGGTAGTTATGATAAATCCATCCTTTTATGGGATATTAAGACTGGATAACAGAAGGCAATATTAAACCATCTTTAATATTATGTTAATACAGTCTGTTTTTCTCCTGATGGGACTACATTAGCTTGTTGTAGTGATAATAAATTTGTCCTCCTATGGGATATTAATACAGGATAAGAAAAGAATTTAGATGGTCATAGTTAAGTTCGATCAGCCTGTTTCTCTCCTGATGGTACGACAATAGCAGCTGGTAGTGTTGATAACTATATCCGTTTATTGGATGTTAATTCAGGAGAATAAAAAGCTTAATTACATGGTGATCATAGGATTTATTCAATCTGTTTTTCTCCTAATGGTACTACATTAGCATCTGGTTGTGAAGATAGCTCTATTCTATTATGGGATGTTAATACAGAGAAAATAAATGTCGAATTAAATGGTTATATGGGCACTATTCGGTCAGTTTGTTTCTCTCCTGATAGTACTACATTAGCCTCTGGTAGTGATGATAACTTTATCCGTTTATGGGATGTTAAGACAGGATAATAAAAAACAAAACTACATGGTCATAATTATGGAGTTCTCTCAGTCATATTCTCTCCAGATGGTACTATATTAGCATCTGGCGGCAATGATAACTCTATTCGGTTATGGGATGTTAAAACAGTATATTAAACCAAATTAGATGGTCATACCAGTGGACTTCTATCAGTCTGTTTCTCTCCTGACGGTTCTACATTATCATCTGGTGGTTATGATTAGTTTATACATATTTGGAATGTTTAGACAGGGTAATAAATCGGCATATTAGATGGTCATCGTAGGACTGTTCGATCAGTTTGTTTCTCTCCTAATGGTACTATATTAGCTTCTGGTGGTGATGATAATTCTATCCGTTTATGGGATGTTAAGCCAGGATAATTAAAATCCAAATTAGATGGTCATTGTAGCACTGTTCGATCCGTTTGTTTCTCTCCTGATGGTACTACATTAGCATCCGGAAGTGATGATAAGTCTATCCGTTTATGGGATGTTTAGACAGGATAATAAAAAGCCAAATTAGATGGTCATTCAAATTATGTAAGAACAATTTGTTACTCTCCTGATGGTACTACATTAGCATCTGGTAGTTATGATAAATCTATTCGCTTATGGAATGTTAAGAAAGGGTCTGTATTAGCCACATTAGAAGGTCATACTAATTTTGTTTATTCAATTTGTTTTTCTCCTGATAGTTCTACATTAGCATCTGGTAGTTTAGACTAAAATATCCGTTTATGGGATACTAAGAAAGGGAATGAAAAAATCAAATTAGAAGGTCACACTGATGGAATTTTATCTGTCTGTTACTCTGTAGATGGTGTTACATTAGCATCTGGGAGTAGAGATCACTCTATACGTTTATGGGATTCTAAGACAGGATTATAAATAGCCAAATTAGATGGCCATACTGATTATGTTCGATCAATCTGTTTCTCTCCAGATGGTATTATATTAGCATCTGGTAGTAGAGATAGCTCTGTCCGTTTATGGGATGTAAAAGCTAGAAAAGAGACATTGCCTTAAGATACTCTTTACAATCAAATTCTGCCTTAATTTAGTCCCAATTCCTTTTCTAACAAAGTTCCTCAAGATAATAGTATTTATTTTTAATAGAATTTAGCTACATCTAATATAACTATCCTTCGAATTTCGTAGTATCCCAATTTAGAAGGCTAAGGAGCTCTAATATCAAAAGGATAATTTGTTAATTATTCAGGTGTAGATTTATTATAATTATTCAAATCAAAAGGCAGTTTGATTTTAGAAAACAAACAGGAATGAAATAAAATGTATTATTATCTAAAACCATTAAAACAACACAATATCATTTAAGTTTTGAAAATTCTGAAATATTCTTAATTGATTGATAATATCAATTCACCTAAGAAATTTAATTTTAGGTGAAAGTTAATTTATCATATTTTGATTAAATAAACTCAACTTTTTTAGATTTTGAAGATTATAGCTGAGCCTAAGAAGGTTCAAGTATTAGCAATCAATAAACTTCATTCTATAAAACTTTGAGTTATTTAATTGTTGATGTATTCATTTATCCTAAAAGTTTATTTACTAGCTTATTTGGATACTTATTAATTTCTTAAACTTGTGTTATTAGTATCTAAGATAAATCTACTTATGTTGTACGGTACAAAAATTCATGATTTATTATTAAAAAGTTTGTTGTTGTTAAATTGTAGAGTTTTCAAAATTACATTTTAATAAACAGGCTAATTTTAAAGTTCCTTTTCCCTCTATATTCATTTGAGCCACATAGCAATTTTATTAATTCTAATAATAATTAAAATGGTTACATGATGAAATAAAGTTTCTCTGCACTTTCCAACTTTGTTGTTGCCCAATAATGTACAATAATCTCAGTAATCGGAATTATATAGGCTTTCTTACTCTTCGTATTTCATTGATTGGGATTGATGGCACACTTCTAATCTCAAATTTGATATCATTTAAAGAGTTAACTACTAAAAGTGTATTTTTAAATACTAACAAGCCTTAGGTATAATCTAATTTCATTAAATTTTTATTGCTTCCCAAGACATTATTTATATTACAATCTCATGCAAATCTATCCTAATAAAAATATTTATTTGAAAAAAAATAAGTATAAAATCAACCTTTTTAGAAGTAATAATTATTTATTTTAATTCTAACTATTCAAAATACAAGCGTGAAATAATAACTGATATTTTGCTACATTAAATTAAGTTACGAAAATCATTAGTTAAATTCTATTCAATAAATAGTTAAAATGATATTAAAAAATTATTCAATATGAAATAAAAATTAGGTTCAACAACATTAAAAAATAAAGGATTAATATAATTATGCTAATTAGTTAATTATTTAAGAAATTAAAAAAGCAAATCATGTATTCTTGGGAGATAGTTAGATCATACTAAGGATATGTTATTTAATTAAGTCTATTTTTTACACGAATTAGTATAGAATTGTTTAATTTACTTTACATGCCCAATTAAAAAATAGGTTTGCTCTCTATTTAATTCTAAAAGAGAGTCCTTAATAAATCAAGACTGTTGAAAATTTATCTTCTAATTAATGAATTAAAAATTATCAAAATCAAAAGAGCACTTTAACACTGAGTAAATGTAGCAGTTTATCAAATTTTGAAATGAATGCCTTTTTATTATGAATCTTACGTAATTAACAATAATTCTCATTCCAAGATTAAAAAAATTTATTTATTAATTTCTTTTCAAATTTGGAGGATATTTTTGATACCCTTCCTTATGAAGGTCGAATTTTGAGACTAGAGTATCATTATAAAAATGCTCCACAATTGATTTTATGATCTAATTTTTGCTGTGTAAATACTTAAAAAAGAAAGAGAATAGAATATATAATTTGTACACACTAGAATTTTAAACCTATTCCTTTATCCCTTAACTGAGCGAACATTGTATTCTCGCTGCAATAATCTCCAATCTAATAATAATGTTAAGGATCATTATAGATTTCAGATATTCTGTGCCTTTGTTAAGAAATTCTATCTTCTTCTAATTGAGGTACATCTAACTATTTTCGCTAAACAAAGTTGTAAGTTAACTCTGGAGAAATTTTCACGCTCATCTTGTATCATGGATGCAGATATCAATTGCATCGTGAGGAATAATCCTAAAAACCTATATAATCTAATCAATGGTTGAAATAAGTAGGGACCTAAATGAATCAGATAAGCAATATGATGACCCTTAAAATTATAATGGAGGAACTAATCATCTCTCAGGCTTAAAGCCGCTAAAAGCGCTACTTAAGTTTCCTGAAATCACTTTGTTTCAACGACTTATATTTAACAATAATTTGCCAAAATGATTACCTGTTTACCATCCAGTAGATTACTTAGATTAGTACTTAAAGATCTATGATTATCCTGAGTTCTCCCTCTGGTAACAAGTATACAAGGAATGAGAATGATCATTAACGAAAATTTATCAGATACTTTTCTAAAGTATTGCAGAAGTTTAGGTTATTGTCCCTTGCACCAGAAATCTATAACCTTTCAAAGTAAAGTATCAATTATGAACTTAATCTTTGAAGGAGACAGAGTTATTTATTTTATTTATTAATATGATTGAATGATTAACTTTTGTGGGAAGAGATTCCCCCGCTCTTCTCTTCTATGGCCAATTCCAAATTCACCTTCATATGGCATGGATTTTTAATTTCATCCTAAAAATGGAAAACACTATGAGCAAAATAGAATATTGGAGCCAGGATGATTGATTTATAGAATGTACTCAGCGAATATCTTGAGAGCTTATTGTCTATCCTCGTTTTCTCTAATTATCCAAACTTATTCTTTTTCTTTATCCATTCCTTTAGACATCATTCTAAACATGTGCATTCTTAACAAGGCACTTTTACAATTTCAATTCTAAGATAGCAGAGCATTTTGCTCCCAGCAAATACAGAATCACTAAGTCCGCAGTATCCCCTTCTTTTAACATTTCCCACCATGTTTTGTATGCTCTACAGTAATTTTGATAATAGCTGTAACCTCCATTTTCTATTTACTTAAAAATCTTAATCCCTCTACAACCAATCTCTTCTCCTCTTAATAAACCTTAATTCTCTCTGCTTCATTTACTTCTTTATATAATCAGGATTTATCCTACCGTTTTTTTGGCAATTTTATCATTATACATCCATTATAATTTAATCATCTACCTATAGAAATTAAGAAATTGTTCCATCATTCTCCAGTAGATCAATATTCCAGATATGAAAAGGAAGATCTTTTTGGAATACTTTTTTCATTTATCTTGAGGACCTCCCTATCTCTCCAGTTATCTCGATTCTTCTTGATTTGCCATTTCCTGAACAAACTGCTTAAACTCTTGTTCTGTCTCCTTAACTCTTTTATCAGTCCTGTCCATCACTTAGGCATCCGACTGTTACAACATCAACACAGCATTTTCCTCAGGGATCTGGCTCTGATTCTCTTCCTTCTCTTAGGCCTTTTCCTTTCTACCTACTTTAATATTCTAAATACATTTTCTCATTACTACTAAATCATAATCCTGTTCATGATAGATCCTATAAAGAGTCTCTATCCAAACCTCAACGCGACCGGATTTAGTTTGATATATTAGCATCATCATCAATCTTGTGATGTATATAGGTTTGTTTTTAACCTTCATATTTTATTATCAACCAATCATGTATTATCACTGAACAGTTTGTAGTTTCTTTTAATGTCTAAATTATTTATTATAAACTGATACACTGTTAAATCTGACTGAGCATTCTGATCTTGTATGATGGTTTGCTAAATCCAAATTTGAAAAATATTTCACTATCCTCATTCAGTCAAATTTGATATTAATCCCTCTTTGACAATATGCGGATAGGAGATAAAGTCTTCGTTAAATTTCTATGAAAATGAGAAAAAGTAAAAAGGCATCTTCAAGTAGGAAAGGCTTAATGTTCTTGAAATATTATTTGAATTATATGTATACTAATGATCGCATGAGTATCGATCAGTTGATAACTTATTTAAATCGTAGGATTGGATATAAAAATGAATATCAAACTATATTCATCATTATTAAAATATATTGAAAAATATTACAAACATGAAAAAATCTCAAAAAATCATAAAGGGAATAAGATTCAACAAAATATAAATTAATGGAAGTGAAATGAAAAAATGAAAAAACAATTTCTAGAAATTTCCAAATATTTCGCCGATAACAACTTTACTAAAATCATAATTCTAAAAATGTATTAGAACCTTAAATGATCAGCTAAGACAATCAAAAAAAATTATGTATTGTATTCCCTTTACAAACGTGATCTACACTAAGATAATATTTAACCTTCCAAAATTCTTCAACCAACAAATCTTTTACATTGCCTATGGTCTTATTTATTGAATCCGCTTAGACCACTTGTTAATTCTTAGATTAAAAGCTCTGCAATTATCAATCTTTTGTAGATTAGTTTCGAGTGATGAAATTTTATAGAATAATAAAAGGAAAGACATTTTTATTTGATAAAATGATGCATAATTTGTGTTTATAAGTAGTAAAAAAATTTGAAATTAGATAGTATAAAATGTCTCTGATAAGAGGAAGTAAACTAATGATTAATATAATACCATTTATTTTTCACTTTAAGAATTCTAGGAAGATGAGGATTTTTTAATTAAAGTTTGATTAGATCTAGCCCAATACATTAAGAATTTCCCAAAAAGGTAATAATAAACATAATAATTGATATAATTCTCAATTATTGGGTTAAATAATAATATTACCTAAGAGTCCTAATATAATATCAAATATGCTCATTAAATTTGTTATATCATTCCATAATTCTAACTTAAATTACATAGTTCTATTATGAAATTAATTTAGATTATTTAATTCTATAATTAACATTTAATTATTATGAGATTCTTGATTATTTTACTTTATACAACTCATCAAACTATAATTTATTAGTTTGATGCAGCCTCTGACGGACCAGAAGGTAATTACTTTAAATTATGTTTAAATTTAGGATGGGAAGATTATAATGGTAATGCTAATTTTCATACTTGTGAGCGATTGAATATTTTGGAGACCCTAATTAGAGTAGTTTGATTAGCAGGATCTTTTTAGATTTAGAGCCTCGTTCTCATGTTGTAGTAGAAGCTCAATTTCTAAAGTATATATTATTCTTAATTTCAAAAGTATTGATAACTTTACTGAGTCTTAATTGGAAATAGATGATGTAAGATAAGAGTTGGTGACGACAACATAAAGTTAGATGTGTGGTAACGCAGAGCCTGAATATTTCACAAGTGTCTCTACAACTGTTAATCATAAAAGANGAATTAAATATACTAATGATCGCATGAGTATCGATCAGTTGATAACTTATTTAAATCGTAGGATTGGATATAAAAATGAATATCAAACTATATTCATCATTATTAAAATATATTGAAAAATATTACAAACATGAAAAAATCTCAAAAAATCATAAAGGGAATAAGATTCAACAAAATATAAATTAATGGAAGTGAAATGAAAAAATGAAAAAACAATTTCTAGAAATTTCCAAATATTTCGCCGATAACAACTTTACTAAAATCATAATTCTAAAAATGTATTAGAACCTTAAATGATCAGCTAAGACAATCAAAAAAAATTATGTATTGTATTCCCTTTACAAACGTGATCTACACTAAGATAATATTTAACCTTCCAAAATTCTTCAACCAACAAATCTTTTACATTGCCTATGGTCTTATTTATTGAATCCGCTTAGACCACTTGTTAATTCTTAGATTAAAAGCTCTGCAATTATCAATCTTTTGTAGATTAGTTTCGAGTGATGAAATTTTATAGAATAATAAAAGGAAAGACATTTTTATTTGATAAAATGATGCATAATTTGTGTTTATAAGTAGTAAAAAAATTTGAAATTAGATAGTATAAAATGTCTCTGATAAGAGGAAGTAAACTAATGATTAATATAATACCATTTATTTTTCACTTTAAGAATTCTAGGAAGATGAGGATTTTTTAATTAAAGTTTGATTAGATCTAGCCCAATACATTAAGAATTTCCCAAAAAGGTAATAATAAACATAATAATTGATATAATTCTCAATTATTGGGTTAAATAATAATATTACCTAAGAGTCCTAATATAATATCAAATATGCTCATTAAATTTGTTATATCATTCCATAATTCTAACTTAAATTACATAGTTCTATTATGAAATTAATTTAGATTATTTAATTCTATAATTAACATTTAATTATTATGAGATTCTTGATTATTTTACTTTATACAACTCATCAAACTATAATTTATTAGTTTGATGCAGCCTCTGACGGACCAGAAGGTAATTACTTTAAATTATGTTTAAATTTAGGATGGGAAGATTATAATGGTAATGCTAATTTTCATACTTGTGAGCGATTGAATATTTTGGAGACCCTAATTAGAGTAGTTTGATTAGCAGGATCTTTTTAGATTTAGAGCCTCGTTCTCATGTTGTAGTAGAAGCTCAATTTCTAAAGTATATATTATTCTTAATTTCAAAAGTATTGATAACTTTACTGAGTCTTAATTGGAAATAGATGATGTAAGATAAGAGTTGGTGACGACAACATAAAGTTAGATGTGTGGTAACGCAGAGCCTGAATATTTCACAAGTGTCTCTACAACTGTTAATCATAAAAGAAAAGCTATGTGGACTTTTATTTTTAACCATAACAAAGGAGGATTGATATCACTAAAATTAACCCTTATTAAATGTTAGTATGAATGTGCTGGATGCATATAGAAATATCATGCAATTTGTTTAAAATGGAAACTACATTAATATTCATTTATTTAGTACTTTATTACAAATTCAGATGGATGGACATTTTAATAAAATTATATAACTTATTTTCAATGTGCAGAATGTTAAGACTTAAAGTTTATCGAAATTAATTATAAAACTTATCTACCTCCTCATTAAGAGATTTTAATTAGGTTTTTTAAAGTTTATGTGAATCCTATAGTGGTAGACTATGTATATGGCTAAATAACTGTTGCTTCTCGATATAAAATAGAAATATTATTAAAATATCATACCGATCCTATATTAGAGTTGAATATTAAAACCATAAACGCTGGGGATTATGGTTTAATAAGAGATTTTGAATTATTTTACACTGAACCAGAAATAATATAAAATAAGTTCAATGAAGGTTGTTTAGAATCAATAGATGATGATTGTCTAATTTGTTAAGAAGGTTGGATTATAGATGAATTTCTTGAGACTTGCAATCCAATTTGTGGCGATGGGATTCTTCAGGGCTAAGAAGAATGTGATAATACTAGTCTAACAACTAATGATTCTTGTTATTAATGCAAATATTTATGCAAAAGCTTTTGCAAGACTTGTTTATTTGGAATTTGCTCTGAATGTGTTTTTGGATTTGATCTTGATGCTGATTTTAATTGTGTTGCTTTTTGTGGAGATGACTATGTAGTTCCTTATTCGGCTGAATAATGCGACCTGACGGATAGTAAGGAATAGTATGATTGTTAGGATTGTAGATTTGTTTTAATAGTTAATTGTGGACATCAACTACTTTCAATGTGTTTGGTGTGTGAAGTAGGATATTAATTGTTAGAAAATGCATGTTTTCCTTATTGCGGAGACAAGTTTGTTCTCTAATAATATGAGGAATGTGATGATGGAAATTTACAACCTTATGATGGTTGCTTTGAATGTAAGTTTTAATGCGCTGAAGATTGCATCAAATGCTATCTCGGGTAATGCATTTTTAAATGTGAAGATGGATATAGATTTGAAGATAATAGGTGCCTTTCTGTTTGTGGTGATCAAATTGTCACAAAAGAAGAAGATTGCGATGATGGTAATACAATCTAATTTGATGGATGTTTTGATTGCTAATATTCTTATTCATGTCCATAAAATTGTCATGAATGCTATCAAGGTATTTGTTTAAAGTGCAAGGATTAATATTAATTATTAATTTCTAATTAATGCTAATTTTAAATATATTGTGGAGATGGATTACTTTAGTAGTAAGAGGAATGCGATGATGGAAATTTAGAGGTGCAAGATGGATGCAAAAACTGCTTGATTGAATAAAATTGGATATGCACTACAATAATAAGAGATTCTCCTAGCTAATGCGCATTTGTCTATGCTCCAAAATTAGTAATTACTTATCTCAACATGACTTCAAATTTATAATACTTAAGCGTCTAGTTTAATTAATAAATAAAAATTTACTCAATCTAACCTTTATCAGAAACAATAAATTTTACATTATAAAATTTAGACAAGAAGGATTGGAATAGCAGCTTATATATCATTTAGGATGTGGGATCATATGTGAGTTTTGGAGAATATGTTTTTGAAATAGAAATTCATTAATTACTTGAATTTCGGCCTATCCTAAAAATTGAGGTAAATCAGACAGTTGCTAATATTGATAATTCTATTTTGGATGACTTTACAAAATCGATAACTTTAGAATATCCATAATATCTTGATGAAACTTAGATGGAGTAGGCTTATAAGTTAAAAAATTTAAATATGTATTTGATTTATGGTTTGTCTGGTATTACATGTGCAAATCTACTATTAGGAAGTGGAGATTTTTTTATCGAAATTCTGGCGATTCTTTAATCCCAGTAATATTTGAGATACATTAATCTGTAATTTCCATAAAATTTAGAGATTTATTTTTCTGTTAATGACTTGATAACAATTCAACCTCTAATAGATTTAATAGAAGTTTCAAAAATATTTTCATTAATTGAACTTTAGGAAAATTAATAACCATATTCTGAAGGAAAATTCGCTGTTTACTAATAAAACCCAAGCTTGATCGTCAATCTTTCATGCCAAATGTTATAATGCTTTATATTTTTATTCCTTATTTTGTTGTATAACTTGATAAAAAAAGTGATGTACAAATGGATATTTTGTCCAAGAAGCTTTAAATATGCCTCAACTTTATCCTTATATTTATATCCAAAAATGATTTTTAAGTGTATTGAATTCTTTTATAACTTTTGCCTAAACTTACTTAAGTTGAAAAAATTTATATCTTTTTAAGGATTATAAAAAGCCTTAATTCTAAATGGTTGGGATATAACGTTTAAAATACTATTGTACTCACGAGTCTTTTCAACTAATAATTATTTAGATATTGTACAACTTACTATAACAGGCGCACTTCTTATTCTTTATTTTACAATTTTGCTGGATAGTTTCAAATGTAAATAAAGTTAATCAAAGTAGAAAAGGTTTGAAATTTTATGTTATGGAAGATAGTTTTTCTTTTTATTCTTCCTAATATATTTGCAAAATTCCCAAACATTATAATTAGGATTACTCTTCATGACAAATTTATTTTAGATTAGTTTGTTATTTAATTATAGGCATATTCAAAAGTAAAAGAATTTTATTGTTTAGATGGTGGTTGAGATATCAGTATTGACATTTACAGCAAATGAGAATTTTTTCATTTCTATTAATGCAATCAAGCGAATGCTTAGTTCATTCTTATACATCTAAGAGTGTATTGAATATTTTAATGAAGAGAAAAAAATAATATTGGGATGGATTCATATAACCATTTTATCTACAGGTATTTTTGTAGAATCAATTTTGATCATCAAAGATTTATACTAAAAATGGAAAAAGTTATACAAAAGAAAAAAGCCTTCATGTACTAGAAATCCATTGTTTATATGAATTGAATATTAATATTTTAAATATTAATTATAGAATCTTCTATTTTTAAGTCTAGCCAATGAAGTAAAACTTAGAAGATAACAGTTATTAATGTTTAATAATCTTAGATAAATAAATTTCTATCTCTTTTACTGGGTTTGATTTAGAGCATAATATATATTATCTACATAACAAACCAACCCAGTCAATATTACCAACAAATTTTTGTTATGAATTTGCTAAAATAAAAAATGTTCTATGCTCCTATGTCTAAACTTCAGAAACAGACCTATATTGAAAAAATAAAAAATAGGAATTTAATTTTGATGAAAACACATGACTCTCTTAGTGTTTATGGGTGAAAAATGAGATTGCAAACCTAATTATTGATATTGAAATACAGATAAGATATTTAGTTTCATTCTGTTGCAATATCGAATGTTAATTTTGCTAATAAGAGTTATGTAAACAACTTGCTCGTAAAATAGGAATTTTTTTGAGGAATCTTAAAACATTGTTAGTCTTCAATCTTAATAGCTCATTAAATACCACAATTATAATGCTTGTTAGTTTTCTTCTGACACTGGATTTTAAATTTAATTGAATCTTGGATAAGATCTTGAAAGAGGGACGAATAATCTCTTATAATTTAAATTCGCATTTAATTAGGGTACTATTTTCTTTCGGTATAGTAAATAAGGCTGACTTATTTCATTTTAACCTAATTTAAATCCTGTGCAGTTGCTAAAATGGAAGAAGTCAATTTACTTTTGATAAGGCCCTAGTTTAGTTGAAAGCTTAAAATAAGATATAATATCAGCATAACAATACAGATTTTTGTTCAACTCTTTGTCCTAAGTTCTTGCTTTCACCCATCCAAATCCATCAAATTGTTGTTGGCTATTTCAGAAATGGAGCTATTCTAAATTCTGTACTAATCATCACAAGTTCACAATTTTTAAAACAACCAAATGTGTTGATACAGTTGATTATGACACATAACGAAAAGATCAGCTCAAAAACCTTAATAATCCTGATGCTATTAATAATGTACATCTTCAGAAAATCTACTTGCTATTATTATTCATTTACCTGCCTTCCCTCTTTCGGTAAATGTACGAACTTTATGTTTGACCAAAATATTTACTTTATCTATTTAAGAATTTTGTTGTGTCATTTCAGGAAATAGATTAATTATAAAAATTGTTCAAATCCTTTTGCTTTTTAACTATTCTTAGACTTGCTCTCATAAAACTTCTATCTGTAAGCATAGTCACAAGGTCTCAGCATATAAAATACATACCAGAAGAAGTTACCAATATAGATAGTAGCATCATAGTTACAAGATTTTCAATAATCAGTTATTAATATAACACTAAAGGAATTGTTATAAAATGGTGCCTTGGATGGTTCTGTGATCTAATTGGAAATAGAATTATTTTAGATGCAGAATACATGAAGCAGAAATAACAGGACCTTTGGAATGGCCTTAAAATATGCACAAATACATGACCCTGTATCTAATATAAATGCAGAAGAGTTTTACATGCAATGGGGCTTTGCGTTGAATTAATTAGTAGGTGCCTAAGAATTGTATAAAGAATCATATATAAGGCAAGAGTAAATATATACCCATCAATTTAGCATGTGACTCAAGGAGCAAAAGGAACCATTCATTTAGAATCATCATACATCACTTGAAGTACCTAATTTCTGATTAGGAATATCATAACCATTTCCTAAACAATAAATTTGATTTGCCATTTTTTTGAATATTGGTTATTTTGTATTATCTATAAAATCCTGCATTCTACTTCCTTGATACATATAAAAAGATACTATCTTTTTCTGGTTAATACTATTAATAAAAAATATATAAATATAATCTTTAGTTTCATAATTATGATGAAGAATGAATAAATACAACATTTATATACAGACCTCCAGGAATGGCAAACCTGTTTTTTAAGATCGGAAGTTAAAGAAAATGCTTATGTTAAGATTTTAGGATGTATATTTGCATTTTGCGCTTTTTCATTCATCCATATCAGATGCGCTAACACTAGCCATATCAATTACTACATATTATGTATCGAAATAGCATAGATGTTCATATAAGTTGATTGGCTTTTTAGAATTCTTCATAATCTTGAATAAGACCACCATCCATCTATTTTGAGATTGAAAGAACCCTAGCTTAATTGAATTCATTACTATAGTGATAATTGAATGTAATAAAACTTTGGGCACAAGCAATTGAAATTAAAGATAGGAACAAGAAATGGAATGTGATATGATAAAATGATTTCAAAGTAAAAAATTTGATGGAGAAATTTCAATATTTGAAAGCAAGTTATGAACAGAAAAAATTCAGTAAATAAAAATAACGTTTCAAGAGATAATCAACAATAATAATTTCAGCAATTCACTGAATTTAATTAGCAATAACAATATTCAAAGTCAAATTAAGACATTTTTGTTTAATTTAACAATCCACAATAAAGATTTGGTTCAAAAATACTTGGTATGATTCTAACTAATTGATAATAATAGAATAATTATCAAATATAATATTATGAGTGAGTAATTAGGATTAGTGGTGTATTGATTCTATATATATCATATTTAAATTGCGATTAAACGATTTTATTTAATAAAAAGAATATAGAGTTGGCTTATTCTTTATTAAAATCATCTTTTATCTCATTGATTTATATACTCCTTTATTATTTTCCATAAACTCTTTATGAAGCATTTATTTGTTAAGCAACGACTAAAATTTTGCAGTCTTGTCGACAGTTGAAATTCTTCATCATATTCCGATATTCACGCAAAAACATACAAAATACTCATAGACAAAATCTTTGAGAATTGACTGAGCCTCAGTGAATTCCATTTCATCTAGACCATCATTTAAATAATAATGTTCACTATGATTCCCAACATAAATATCCTCTTGTACTTAATCCCATTATTGAACTAAGTTTTTTAATATTTTATTAGCTTATTTTTGGTTGAGATAACATGCATCTCTAAATTTTTGATGTTTAGCATCTGATTGGTTTTATAAATAAAGGATTATTGTTCAGTCTATTTGATAAAGAAAATTATGTTGTAATGGATAAAGAAAAAATCATAATAATTAATTCTAACGTTGCTCTAAAAGTTAAGATTTCATTTAGTTAATAGAAGGATAAATGATTTCGAATACAAATGACAACTATGGTATAGTTGATAAAAATTATTTGATAAAAATGACTTATATAAATTTGATCTGATAAAGAATAAAATGAAGCTAGTTTTAATAAACTTGTAAAATAAATAAATATCCTAAAGGAGTGAATCTCAAGAATAATTAGAGATTGAATAAATTTCTTTAAATGTAGAAATCTTAAAGATGTAAAAGAAGATGGGTTGATAAGTCTTGTAAATCTAATCCTATAATACTAATTATATTATCAGAAGATTTTTAGTAATTTATTTTTCTTAATAAAATTATGAGGGTGTAATTGAAATAACAACATAACAGCAATTAATTCTATTTAAATACAGAATAATTCATGTGATAACGAATTAATGATAAGTTGATGCCCTTTCAAAATATTATTAATTAAAGATAAAGATAGAAATCATTTGCTGCAAACTATCTTCAAGAAAAATTAGAAAATGCATAAATCGAAGAAATCAATAAATAGAGATTTGTTTTCAAAAAAGCTAACTCTATTAAAATATTAAAAATCTGTTCTATTTATTTTAACAGACTGGTAGATGAAATTTATAGCTAGTATTATTCACAAAATTGAGATTGTTAATCAATTGTGATAAAAATTATAATTATTTTTATCACTATAAAATACTTGTTTACTTTTAAGTTAGATAGGAGATCTGATCATCTCGGAGCAAGAACATATCATGACATTTTATAAATGAAAAGAAATTGTACAGAGTTTTCCATACACTAATCATAATTATGTGGGTTATACATATAAATCAATCGAAAATAAGAAACATCAAAATTTAGAGATTCCTCTATTGTTGTTATTAAATTTTATAATTTATTTTTAAGAGTATAGCCCCATAAGTAATTTCAGCAGGTAAATTCTTTTATAATAAATAATCTAGAGGTGGGTCAGTTTTTTCAGCCACCTTCCCATAACAATTAGAGCATTTGAAATGGAAAATGTTAGCCCTTCAATTTTTTAATTTAAAAATGAAACATCATTTTATTTTTTTATAATTATTAAATTTTTTACAAAAACAGATTTAACTCATAATCGACTATTTTGGTTTCGATTCCTAGATTTAGATTTTATGTTTCTTGTGTATATAAGTATGAAAACAAAGCATGATATTTAAACTCCTAAAATACTATTTATAAGCTACTAATTTTTTTTAATTTTTATTTACATTAATACCTTTTCATCTGATATTTCATTTTAGGCGAGCAATTAAAAATTTTATTCATTTTCATCACAATATTATAATTCTAACTCATATCCAATTATTCCTAATTATATATAAAATTAGTCATAGAAAATTAAATGAGTAGTATTTAATCTGAGTATTTTCATTGAAAATGCAGATTTATGAAAATAGTCATAAATCTTTCTTTCATCTTCAAATTCATAAAATTGAGAGATAATACTCTCAGCTTACTTTAAAACCAAAATAGAATCATCTATATACTCAATCATAAAATCATTAATTTCAATACCAATCGAACTTCTAAACGTGTGAAACAATTAGAATTCAATTTAATTCTTCTATTAATCTAAATTTAACAAAAATAGTTATGCTAAAGATTAACCCACAATGAGAAGTTTAACATTAAGCAAATCTCCAGAATATCTACAAGAGACTAATTTCATTCTTTAAAAAAGGCTTAGTTTTTACTTCAATTTTGCATAATGTGTTTGATTAATTACAAATGAGTATATCTATTATTTCTGATGTAAATTGATCGAGTATATAGAACATTCTAAATCCTCTGAATCCTCATTAATATATAGGATGAGATATTAATTATTAGATTTTTCAATATATTGGATATCTATTATAAAACCAGGGAAAAATTATATATTAAAATTGATATCATCAATAACAATAAAAGCTTTATTGTTTATACCATTGATTTTTAATAAATTACCAACTCTTAATATTTCTCCAAAATTAAAATAATTGAAATTATCATCCAAATTTGAGATTATTTTACAATATCCACTTTAATTGTAGGAACATTCAATTAATTCAATAATTAATTTATCAACTAAGAATGAAATATAAAGATAATTTTACTATTTTATCCAAAATACAAATTAATCATATAATGAATTTCTTTCAATTACTTCAAAAATATAATTTTCCTTAACAAATACTGTAAAATATATGTTGTTAAATTTATATTCTCTCAAACATATTGTTGAGGTTTAATCTTTACAAATTTTAAGTGTCTACTTAAATTAAAAAGGTCCCTTCAAAATAATATTTGAATTATTTAAGAGAGTCAAATTACTGATTGGACCATAAAAAATCTCAGATATATTTAATTTTAAACTATTATTATCTAGAATTTCAATTATAGATGATTTCATGACAGAGTGTAACTAAAAGCATTAATTTTCAATCGAAATCTGTAGTTAAACATCCTGTTTTAAGTTTATTGAAAAGTTTGAAAACAAAACTTTTTAATGAGGTTTTTCTAGATATAATTCCACAAAATATGTTTTAATGTATAAATACCTCCATACTTTATTCAAGGAAAACAATATGTGTTATGTCTCTAATTAAAAAAAGAAATCATCAGTTTCAATAATTTCATTTAATGATAACATGAATCCATTATACGAAAAAATGGCAATATAGAGTAAATTATTTTATTCAATTAAAATTGCTATGTTTTTGGTAGTTATTTTGTACTTAAAAGGATAATAAAAGGAATAAGCCTCAAAAGTGTAATTTGAAATTTGATGTAATTATTAATCATAAAAATAATTTAGAATTAAAGATCTAGTTGAGTTTTATATTGCAACTATAAAGTGACACTCACTTGTAGAACTAGTTTGAATAGAAATAATTAATTAGTCAGTGAATTGATAATATCCTAAATTTTCTTTATATTGGGTGGCTAAAAGCTTTTCATATTGAATAAACTTTTATAATCCAAACTCAAAATAAAAGAGAATAGGTCCAGGTTAAAACAGATTTTTTGATAGATAATTGCTTAATGTATATTGCTAAGCCTGCATTAATATAAAAAGAGGCATATTAGAGCTGTTTGTATAAATTAATATACTTTATTAAAATTGCTTCACGCTTGTAATCACTTCATTGAATTTTATATTGAAGTTTTAAATAAAACCTTTTGAAAATTCAACTCCTCTCAAAACTTTACTATTATTTCTGTTCATAAAATAAATAGCTATGTTAGACTCATGTACTTGATATTAATCTAAGTTAATTGAAACTGAAAATTAATGTAGTTCACAATCATAGATATAAAAAAATGATTCATATTGAAAACATATGTATCCTTTTATTATTTCTCTTAACTAAAACTTTTCTTTTAAATAAATTTTTTAAAGCCTTGATAAACAATCATTTTTAAAGTCTTTACTATTAATGATACTTACCTAAAGATTGCCATCACTACTATATAAATTGTAAGTATTATTTTAAAGGGACTAAGTTTAGCAATCCCATAATATTTCGTACTTATCTTAACAATTATTTTTGATATTTAGCAACTCATTGTATTAGGATGTTTACACTTTAGTATTATTTTAGTATAAAATTCTAAAACAGTCCATAACTTTATCTCTTATGAACAAATTCCTTTTTTGAATTACATATATGTACTTCAACTTAGGTTTAATAAGAAAACTCAACGATTAATATTTATAAAATTATATAACCTTTTTGGTCTAATCATATTAACAGAATAAATTAGTCATATCAAAAAATTACAATGAAGTATTAAAAATTTGATATGTCTAATTAATTCGAGTATTAATTAACACTTTTAATTCAAATTAGTTCTAAAGGAAAAGAAGATTTTAATAAAAGTGAATATTATTAGTAGGATAAAGTTGATCAAGTATGATTTCGGTTTCAAGTGGTTATGAATCAGTTTTATTTGATTAGTAGGATAAAACCATTTTTGAATATCTGTGTTATACTATTTTTTGAATTCGATTTTTTTTTTGTTATTTTAATGAGTAATCTATTATACTCTTTGAAATTTTGTTCAGCTACAATTACACATAAAAATCATTTTCTATCAAATAAATAATAGAAATTGTATCACTAGTTTCATAAACAGTCACAGCATCAATGTAAGAGAGGCTTGATATCGAAGTGTCATAATATTTCATTTAAGCTTCTAATATCGTTTAAACTTGATTATTTTCTATTACCATAAGTTTCCAACTAGAGCATTGATAAAATAATATTAAATGTTAATTTTCTTTCCACTTACTCTATTTTTTTTTACATGCATCCTATCTTTGTTTTGTCACATCATGCTCCCAAGTTAATGTCACATCCCTTTTGAAATGCAAGGAATATTATTTTAGAGTAGATGAACTGAGACAAAATAAACTCAAACTACCATCTTCATTGGTATACAATTCATCACAGAGTTCACTAGCTAATATTTTAGTATCTATTCTAAATAATTCACTATAATTAGTTTATTCCTCATAATAAATTAAATCAAAGCCCATACAAGTGATATAATATTCGAGGTTAACAAACAAGAAGCACATTAACCTTTCTTGTATTTTCTTTTGATTCAAGGAATTGATAACTCTTATTAAAATTGGCTCTTGCTAATATGGAATGTAGAATGACTCTTCTACAATTTGATAATTCACATGTAGAAGTTCGTAATAATTTTCAACATCTCCTTCGAAAATATAACAACTTTATGAGAATTATTAACAAGCAATATAAGGTTGTGATTATAATTCATTGCACTTTGAATGTAAATAGTTAATAAAGCACCCTATTAAAATATATAAAACTTTCATATTATATAAGAAAATTAATATATACTATAATTGGAATGATTTATAAAACATCCAAAATATTTAGCTGTTATTGTATTAAAATTAACTAATACTATATTTAGGTTTAAAATTAGGGTCAAGCATTATAAGTAAGGAATGTTATTTTTAAAAGCTCTGGCCAAAAGAATTTAAGAAAGGTTACAAAATGAGTAAATTAATTAATTATTAAAATAAAGATATGCATTACTGCGTATAATCGATGAAGCAATCTTTTTATTAGTAGGATTAACAATTGAAAAAAACAATATATTAATTTCTTAAAAGGATCAACAAAATAAAATGGATCATAATGTGAAATGAATCCCCTAAGTCTTAAGTTTACTTTTTCAAAACAATTCTTGAAAAAAGAAAATAATGGAAAGACTCCACTCAGGATTATTATTGTTTTGAAGAAGAATTATGTTATTTGAATCAATAAGAGTTTTGGACAATCAATATAAATAAAATACAATACTTCATAAAAATTATATATCTAACTACTTATCTATTTTTATTGAACTGCTGGCTTGGCATCGATATTTGATCTTAGCAAATCAAGATCACTTTAGTTATTGTAACTTAGTTAACAAGACTTATATATTAAATTTAATAAGGTTGGAGTTGTTTTGAGTTGGTACCATCATTAACGAAAGGATTAAAGGTTTAGTTATTTAAATTTAAAAATAATCGATGCATACAATCATATTATTTATATAAAGACCCCTTTTTAAAGAATAAATTAAACTTCAAAATTAAATTATTCAATTAAATTAACAGAGCTAACATATTGACTTTTAAAGCATCTAAAGTTAACTTATCATTAAGGATCTATATTAAGATTTTTAATACCTATAATTAATAAATAATTTTCAATTCGATAAATGGGTTCAAATATTAATCGACCACGTTGATATCCAGTATATTTTAATTAAAGATATGATACTTCTATATTAGCTTAAGAAATATTTTAGTATATGAGCCTTTCCCCTACTAATTCCATTTATATAATTAAATGAGTAATAAATGCGGATAGCGTGTTAAAACAAATACTTCTTAACTTTGTGGTATAACAAATAAAAATAACTAAATTAATTAAATTGAATAAAAGCATTTTTAAATCTGAATAGTTTACATAGGGCTTCAGCTTTAACAACACATTCGTAAGGTTTTGTTTTATTTCCGACAAGAGTTGATAAAGAATTAAAAGATAAAATAAAATTAATGTTTCAAAGAAATCCTCAATCCTTGGAGACAAACAATATGCTTAGATCGAGTGTGAATAAGAATGTTTTTCTTAATTAAATAAAAAGGTAAGAGCGAAGAATTTGTTAGACAAAGAAAATACATTTAATAATTTTGCTTAGTTAAGTGTTACGGAGTATCTCAATATTACATTATGCATCGATTTATTAAATTAGGAGCCAAAATTCAATTTAACCAACTTAGTGCTGAAAGAGCCTTCATAAAATTTTCCTATTAGATTCCCTCTCCATTTGATTTTCTCATTTATAAATGAGTCCCTGAAAAATTTGAATTACTTTATTTACAAAAATTTAGAAATTTTAAATTTCAAGAAACTGCTACTTAATATGAATTAAGGTTCATAGATAAATATTTGCCGCAATAAATAACTTCCAAACTCAAAGAAATTCCTTTCAATAATTTACAATTGCTTTTCCTTGCGAGATAATTCTTTCTATAATTTAGATGATTTATTTTGTATTTTGAATTATGAGTAAATACTATGGTTAATTACTTGAAATTTTAAGATTTATTCATAATCAATTGATCTGCATATTAGGGAATTTAAATCAAGTTTAGCTTGTCTGGTTGAATCTTATGAACACTAATTAAAATTGCTAAAGATTTATTGTCTTTAAGAATTCTAAAAATACATCTTTTTTTTTCCTAAATCTAACTTAATTAAAAGAATTTATTATTTCTTTCCAAGTATGCATTAGAGAAAAGTTTTGGAGTTATCTATCCCTTTTAAACACGAAATTCATTCTATACTAAAGGTCTTTATTTATTTAAATTTGATCTATATGAGATAAATATGATTCAAAGATATAAACCTTATACTTAATTTCATTTAATTTGAAAAAATTTTTGAAAAATTGTGTATTTTCTATTATTAATGACTCAAATTTAAATAAATATTTATAAATTAATTGTGAACAAGGGAGTGATTAAATTTTAATTCCAATCAAATTTAGAATTGTAAAATCCTTAACATATTTTATCAAATTAATGTAGACTCATCTTTTTCTCGAAACAATTTATTCTTTTTTATATCTAAAGTAATAGATTGGTTCGCAAAATAGGTAATTAAAAATGAATTTTGATCCAACCAGAATAATTTTATTTAAAGGCTTTTAGTACTAATCTGTATCTTATAGCTTGGCATAACAATAAAGTATATTTACCACAAAAAAAGAACTATTTTTCATTTAATTAAAGTAAATAAAATTATTTTAGAAGGTGAATATACATAGATTTTAAGATGGAAAATTTTGAAATAAAGCTTATGCCATTTTAATATAAAAAAAATCCAAAAGAATCAAAATTACTTAATAATTCCTAAAATATCGCACAAAAATACTTTAATTTTTGAGTAATATTGAGGAAATCCTAAGGTTTTATGACTATGAAATTAAGGAATAATTTATAAAATAAAATTCAAATAAAGGTATTACATATTTCTAATTGTAAGAAATGAAATTATTAGATTGTTAGATAATTTATTAAAAATATATAAAATATTTGTAGAAACGGAATAGAATAATAAAATTATGATTATGCAATTGAGATGATCGTAAATAGTCAGATTATTTCTATAGAAAAGGTATTACTTTGATTCCTACTCTTTAAGGAAATACTTTACAAATATGTAGTTGTTTAAAAATATATAAGCAATTTAAAAAGATTTGAAGATGTATTAGAGTTTTTTGATATGCAATTTAGTATAATCCTGAAAAGTCTGATTATTTCGATGGAAAAGGTATTAAAATTATTTATCTCAAGCAATGACTTTATAGATATCAACCATTGTAAAAAAGAAAGAAACTTAAAAAGTTTTCAAGAAGCGTTAGAGTTTTATGATTATGCATTTTAGAAATCCCAAATAATTTAGAAGATGAAAACTGAAAAGATATTCTATATATATACAATACAGTAACTTCCAAAGGAGAATAATCCCAGGTCCATTTTGAAAACTAATAAGTTCATTAATTATATACAATAATTATTAAATGTTCATTTTATTATATTTAAGAGGTTTTAGTTTTAACTGTCAGTAGTTCAACCCTTATAAGTGTATTACTTTAAATCAGGGCCTTAAAAAAGAAAGAAATATTGACAGATGAAGCAACATAAAATCAGTAAACGTTTTTTAATGAATAGTAACAATTGATCTCTATTTTTGAGCTGAATAGTTAATTTAACATCACTAAAGAGATATCTGTAAAGTGTGGATTAGATGGTTGGACTTTTTTCCTTAATAACTTATCAATTAAAATCCATCCTTGCGAGTAAGAATGGCGAATATGTCAATTTGATTTAGGAGAAATAAAATGGAGACTTATTAACTGAATAATCTATTCATTTTGGAACGACTATGTTATTTGTAACCATAAGTGATGACGGAGATTATTTAAAAACTCATGGTGGCAAATCATAATAAATATAGATCATGAAATACATATAAATATTATCTTTTGATTTAAACTTTTAAATTTTAACATCGTTTTTAAAGTATTAAAGTTGATATCTTATTAAGATTACCTTTTCAGATTTAAGGACTAAATATAGAAAAAATAAGCCTCAGATTATTGTAAAAATAAAGTGAATTTTTTTTTTGATACAAAANCTTAATAATTCCTAAAATATCGCACAAAAATACTTTAATTTTTGAGTAATATTGAGGAAATCCTAAGGTTTTATGACTATGAAATTAAGGAATAATTTATAAAATAAAATTCAAATAAAGGTATTACATATTTCTAATTGTAAGAAATGAAATTATTAGATTGTTAGATAATTTATTAAAAATATATAAAATATTTGTAGAAACGGAATAGAATAATAAAATTATGATTATGCAATTGAGATGATCGTAAATAGTCAGATTATTTCTATAGAAAAGGTATTACTTTGATTCCTACTCTTTAAGGAAATACTTTACAAATATGTAGTTGTTTAAAAATATATAAGCAATTTAAAAAGATTTGAAGATGTATTAGAGTTTTTTGATATGCAATTTAGTATAATCCTGAAAAGTCTGATTATTTCGATGGAAAAGGTATTAAAATTATTTATCTCAAGCAATGACTTTATAGATATCAACCATTGTAAAAAAGAAAGAAACTTAAAAAGTTTTCAAGAAGCGTTAGAGTTTTATGATTATGCATTTTAGAAATCCCAAATAATTTAGAAGATGAAAACTGAAAAGATATTCTATATATATACAATACAGTAACTTCCAAAGGAGAATAATCCCAGGTCCATTTTGAAAACTAATAAGTTCATTAATTATATACAATAATTATTAAATGTTCATTTTATTATATTTAAGAGGTTTTAGTTTTAACTGTCAGTAGTTCAACCCTTATAAGTGTATTACTTTAAATCAGGGCCTTAAAAAAGAAAGAAATATTGACAGATGAAGCAACATAAAATCAGTAAACGTTTTTTAATGAATAGTAACAATTGATCTCTATTTTTGAGCTGAATAGTTAATTTAACATCACTAAAGAGATATCTGTAAAGTGTGGATTAGATGGTTGGACTTTTTTCCTTAATAACTTATCAATTAAAATCCATCCTTGCGAGTAAGAATGGCGAATATGTCAATTTGATTTAGGAGAAATAAAATGGAGACTTATTAACTGAATAATCTATTCATTTTGGAACGACTATGTTATTTGTAACCATAAGTGATGACGGAGATTATTTAAAAACTCATGGTGGCAAATCATAATAAATATAGATCATGAAATACATATAAATATTATCTTTTGATTTAAACTTTTAAATTTTAACATCGTTTTTAAAGTATTAAAGTTGATATCTTATTAAGATTACCTTTTCAGATTTAAGGACTAAATATAGAAAAAATAAGCCTCAGATTATTGTAAAAATAAAGTGAATTTTTTTTTTGATACAAAATATTGGGAACGTGCAAATTATAATTCTAAGAATAGTATTTCTTGATATAGTTTCTATTAATATCAAAATGAGTAGATAGTTGAAAATTTAATGTAGTGAATTTTAATTTTATCAGGATATGTCCATTGTTTTTCATCTTTGAATATTAAATCAACTGATCCTTATTTAAATTTATCTTACTCATATGATCTTATTTAAAACCATTTATCAAAGTGAAAATCAAGAACCAGATAGTCTTATGAATAATTCAAAAGGAATAATTTGCTATAGATATAAAGCCTATATCTAAAATTGCTTAAATTTATAGTGGTTTCGAATTTCACATTTAATGTTTGATGAAAATCATTTAAAAAATATTATTATTATTATTCTAAATCTGTACATTCTATTTTTTTTTAGGTCATTTCTTAATTGCTCATAAAAATATATAGAATTACAGTTTGATAATTTAATAGCCTCGTAGCATCTAAATCTTAAATTAATTATTGAAATATTCATTTTTAACATTATGTAATCTGTTGATTTCTATATTTTTGCTTACTTTTTCTTATTGAAGAACATTGTGTCACCCCAATGAAAAATTTAAAAATCAAGTCTATTTGTTGTGAAAGTATTATACAGTATATGTTTGATTAAAGGAATAAAATAATTAAAAAAAGTTGCAATAGAAGTCAAGATCAGAATTGATTTTGAGATTTAAATAGTATTACCATAGATAAAATTAAGAATCATTAGTACTCAGAAAAACTTTTAACTTTATATTTAAGATTATATTTAGCAAGCTATTTATCAAATTCAGGATAATTTAGTTAGTGGATTAATGCTTTACTCTTATTTTTAGAACAATCCTCGTAGTGACTACATCTGTTTGAACCTTTTTTGATTAAAATATAATTGAACTTATGCTCTAAAGCATAATTTATCTGATTTAATTTTTAATTAAATTTGTAAGCAATTAAGACCTTTGAGTTCATTATTGAGGTGCCCTTTTAATCAAGTTTTATTAAGACTACTCCTTAATCCAAGATTTTTCTAACTGTTTTTATAAGGTTCTACAATCATGACAGTAGAGTAAGTTTTCATTACAACGGAGGGAAATTTGAGCTTAACTTCATACTCCTTCCTGCAAGACCAACAAAACTTTTCCAAGATTACCTCATAACCAACCAGTTAATTATTTAATATAAAATGTATAATCACGGATTTTCATATGCTATCTCAAGGAGTTAGTGTTAAAAATAAAATAATTATTTAATTTGTAAATTTCTGCATTCAACAATATTTGCTTCAATTAATACAGATTAATTAAATTACCAGGATAAAAACTTTTAAATTAGGTAATTTAGGAAGAGAAACACCTTGAATATTTTGAACGTTTAAAATTCTGTGTTTAATAATATATAATTTAGAAAAAGGTACTCAAAGCTCTAATTAAATTAATTAAATTTAATTGAACTAATAAAATTAAGAGTAGTATCTTTTGGATTAAATGATAAATTCTAATTCTTAAAATTATATAAAATGATTTGTAATTCTGTGATTTTGCACTAATATGCAGTTTTGATTTTGAATAAGAAATTATTAAAATAATATTGTTACAATTAATATAGCGAAAATATTCAACTCGCATTTTAGATTGTGCTACAATTTTGAATGTGATAGTTAAAATGGTCTATTGCATCTTTATCTAATCTCGTATAAACACTTTATAATTCATAATGTTCAAATAATTAATCATCATAAGTTGTCACTTTTTACTGGTTGAACCCTTTTTAAAAATAATTCCTTTCATAACAACTATTCCATTTTATAGCTTTATAAATTTTAATTGACTATTTATCAAGAGAAAAATTATAGTTAGCCCATTCATTGAGTAACTCTTCTATCTAAGGTGATTTAGAACCTTTAAAATACTCAACAGAATAAATCCAGAAATTATATCTTTCGTTTAATACTTTTACTCTATTTTACCAACCTGCTTATTTTTAAGTATTCTCTTTGGAAATTAAATATTCATAATATTTTTATTGACCAGGGTTTATAGAAATTAGTATTTAATTTAACTTGAAATAAATCGGCCAATTCTGAAATTAGTTTAAAAAATCATCTGAGATTCTATTTTTTAAATATATCAGATTATTTTTCATTTATTCAGGAGTTTCTATTTTTCTATATTTTTCTAATTAAGCACTTACAGAACGAGCAGCATGAGTAAAATTCTTTACAAAATAGGTTATATCAGAGGCATCTTTGCATAAATAAATATATTATTTTCTATCACCTAAATCATTCTAATCAAATTAACATTTTAATTCTAAGAATTCCCTTAATTCTTTTTCAGCTTTTTCTTAGGCTTAATAAAGATCCAATATTCGAGGTTGGTATAAATCATAAGACCATTTATTCAATTATTTTTCCTAATTTTTATCCCATTTTGAAATATTCACTCTAAAATAAGATAAAATTTCATCTTATTACTTCCACATTTAAAAGAATTTATCATTTTATATTATATTTTCCAAGTAATTTTGAAGAAGCAATTAAAAGCTATTTTACCCCATTTTCCAGAGCAATTAATTTTGTTTAGTTTTATTTTCTTTATATAAAATACTTGTATTAAATTTGAGGTACCAAGAATTATTAATGGTTGGAATCATATTATAAATAGGAGATGTTATTCCACTAATTACTTCTGCTTTTGATTACAAAATCTCCTTCTATTTAGGATAATCATCAACACAATCTGGAAACAAAAAGACAATATTGTTGATTAATGAATTCGAAAAGTGACTCAAAATAGATTCCAACATAAATAACATGCCTATTTAAACTTATTATGGTATTACAAATCCGATTAGAATATTTTGATTAAGTTAAGCTGACCTTAATATAATCTCACATATTCTGCTATATTTTGATTGATCATCATAACTTAAATCATCATTGTAATCTTCTGTATATATGATTCTAATTCCTGGTTTTCCATTTAATGGAGTAATATAATATACTTTTGTAAATTAATATTCGCAATTTTGAGTCTCTTTGGTTATATCGATATCATCAATTATTTCAAATCTATATGGATCTGAAAACTCAACACCTATATAGTAATTTAAAAATAAGTTGATTAGCTGCTATTTTTCTGAACCTTTAGTTCCAATTAGAATGATAGTTTTATATTTTTGCATATCTAAAATTGATTTTATGTGATATAAAGGGTATTAAATTATATCAAAATCATTCTCCTTCCTTAGTTTATGAGTTTTCTCTAATAAATCCAAATAGTTTTAAGCTTTATTGTTTGTTAATGTTTTGTTATCTTCTTATATTTATTTTTAAACTATTTATTGGTATTATACATTTTAATCTGGAACTATAGTTGGTAATTAATTGATTGAGTTATTGAAAGCCGATTAGGCCTAGATGCATGCTTCTATTAAATTTGTATCAAATTTAGAGAATATTTCAGAAATAGGTTCCATCATAGTCTCTATATTTGAGATAAGATAATTCAAAGGTGATGATACCTATTAGACTTTTAATAAATTGAAAACTTATTTTTCAAACTCATTATTTTTAATTTCTTCAAATGATTTTTCAAAGTCTTCGTTCAAAGAATTTAAGAATGTTTTAATTTAACTCATTATTTCTAGAATTTACATTATCTATTTTTCATATATTGTGTAGCTTTAGATTGTTTTTTCTTTCCATTATGTAATTTATTTGACAGTTTTTAACTCTTATTTATGAGAACTGTGATTTTCAATACAATCTAAACAACAAGCTCTTTTAAGTTTGCAATTCATGTTTAAACAAACTAATATCACCTCTTATTATTTATGACCTGATTCTTCGCAATCAAACATAATCCAGAATTATTTAAATAATGTGATTGTTTTGGTAATTCAATATTTATAGGAATAAGGGTGTCTAATTCTATTACAAATACTAATTCTATTACAATTACTAATTCTATTACAATTACTAATTATATTAAAAATTCGTAATTTATTGAAATAAAATTAATATAATTCAACAGGACTAACAATTAATTGTTTAAACAATTTCAATAATTGAGAATAGATATTAATTAAATTAATATTGTTTAATTTTCTAAATCAAGCAATATTATAACGATCCTTCATCTATAGATATTTATTGATTAATTGTAGAAGATAATTTTATAGATAAATATATCAAAATAAAATCTAAAGATATCTCTTTTTTTCACCTATACATGAAAGGAAGTTTAAAGTAAATAATAATTACAATCTTTAAATAGCACCCACAAGCCAGATATTATAAAGTAATTTGAATTTATCCCTAAGATATTACATAAGATATTGCATAATATTTCTATCCATAAATTATATGAAAATATAGTCTGTTCTGGCAAATGATATCAATAATTCAAAAATAAATCTGATTATTATCAAAAATTCTGAGATAATCATGATATTTACTTAAAGAGAACTTGAGGAAAATTGAATAGAATATTAATCTCTATTCATCATGTTTAGTTTAACAAAAACTATTGAGTTACAAATTTTATCATTGAATGCATGATATTTTTTTGAATCGTTTTCTTTAAAAAAATAAGGATTTTTAATGGTGATTTCTTAATTTAGCTAAGAAATATAGTTTAATTATTGAATTATAAATGATTTAAGAAATTGATTTAACGTATTATTATGGAAATAGTAAACAACCATCATTACCTTGATTAACAATAATATCTTTAGCTTTAGTGAATTATTTACTTAGACTATTGATCTCATGGACTAACATTTAATTACCCTCTTCAGGTTAAAATATCAAGATATTATTGTTGATATAGCATAATCTAACTTCATAACAATAAACTAATTTAGAATCCAATTTCTATTTTATTCTGAATACTCAATTTTTAATATTAATTTATCACCTCCCCAAGAAATAACTTAATTTATTAGTTAATTAAACTTAATGAATAAACATAACTTTGATAATCTGTGATTATTTATGAACTAATTCATTCATTATATTTAACCCAAAACTTAATAGTGATATCTGCACTACCAGATATAAACAATTAATTCAATTATTATGTCCATTACTTGTTTATGAGGAAATCCATGAATTATTTTATTAATTAACCAAATTGAAATATTCCCTTTATAATCTCCAGATATCAAGTAATTAGATTTTTCATAAAATTTATTGTAAACACAAAACCTTGTTATTAATAGGATATTTGATTACTAAATTCGTTAGTTTTTGGAATATTAGAGTTTGTTTTAATCATATCATTGAAAATGAATATCTAATCAATCAAATTATTTATTTTATCAAATAATTAATAAAATAATTATCATAAATACTTCTAAATCTTTCTCCACATCTTTCATATAAAAATCTATTTTACTCTAAAATACTTATTCAATTTACATTCTCTATTTCTATTAGTATTATTATTATTATCAATATATTCTACAATTAATTAAAATAATTGTGCAATAAACAGAATTGCTCATTAAATCATTAACTAAATATTTAAAGCATGAACTAATAATCTATTTAACCTTGTCAAATTCAAGCAAATGTTTCTTTCTGAAATTCAGCTTCCTTTTTTCTTAATACCATTGCATATGCGATATCAACATATCTTTTTCTGAAATTTAAGTAGATTTGCTTGCATTTGATGATCCAAGTAATAACATTTGAATCAACTGATCTCTAAGATCTAACAACAGGATCAGGAAGATGGAGTGTAATATTCACAATTGACCATCTACTACAAGGTGCAACTAAGAGCATTATCGCCTTATGAGGTATCAGACATACATTTTATAACCTTATAGTAGAATTAAAAGTAATACTTATTTATGAAATGGTGGGTTGGATAAATTAATCAGAAAAACAGTAATTGTCTCTGCGAATTTTTATACTCTCACATATTTAGACTATATCAAATTCAATATTATTTTGGAAGCTGATTAATCTTAATGGACATCTCCTGAATTATCTTTACTCTTGATATGACTGCAAATCATCCATTTGTAAGTGGTTATTCTATAATGCTGAAGTGATTGAAACTATTTTATTCCCATAAGAATAACTTAATGATATCATTATAATTACTCTATTGATAGCAAAAAGAGGATATGAAATTGATCAAAGATGAAATCCAGATTTTTTTTTTATTATCTCATTAAGCCATTACATTATATATATATTAATTAAAGAGTTAAAATTAGTACGTTTTTTAATAAAATAAAAAATTCCTAAGTGTTATATTCTATTAAATTTCAATCTTAACTGCTTCTCATATTTAAAAAAGTACCTGATAAAATACGGAGATGATAAATAAAGAAAGGCTTAGGAACTGCTTAATTCTAAAGTAAATGGAGATTATTATCTACTGGTGTCGATACGATAATACAAAGAAATTAAAATTCATTTTTAAAGTTCTTATAAATAAAATAGAATTAGTAGCTTTAATCTGCATACCGGATTAAAATTGTGCATAGATCTTCTTGGAATGTGATTATGGCGGCGATTCTCTGATTATTTGGGAATTTAACAGATAACAAGTAATGGATTGTCTCAGCCAATTAAATCCTTAGCTTTATCAAATGGTAGATTATTTTACTCTTTTACAATTTCTTAATTATCAATGCACAAAAGGTTTGTTCATTGATAATCAAGAGTTTTTATCCAGATAAGATTATTTATCTACCAAATTCAAACCCTAATTATCATTCATAAAATATACTTAATGCAATTATCAAGAGATTTCTTATAGATTAAACTATGGAGAGCATTTGAAATCCACTTAATAGATTAAATCAATCAATTTATGTTCCAATATAATTTTTAAGTTTAGAGATCCTAAATATCAATAGTTAAAATTAATGATATGCTCTTAAATATTTCTTTTAAATAATAATTATTATCCTGAAAGAAGAAGATTAATTACATTAAATCCCACTTTTCAACTTCAGATTTTATATTTGGCATAGCATATCTTTGATAGATTTATTGAATCTTTAGCAAATTCATAAAAGATGATGGCTTTACGCCTTTAAGTAAACATGCATTCAATTAACGATTATAATAAATACAAACCATTTATTATTACCCATAAACAATTTTTGCCTTTTTTTGAGTCATTTAAACATTTTAAGAGTTGATTTTTTGATTTATTGTGTGAGATTCATTTAGCCTTTCAATATATTGTTTAACTTTTTAAAGATACAAGCTTATTTTACCTATAAATATTAGAAAAGTATCTTAAATTTTCAAAATAAAGATATCTACAACTTAGTTTTAAAAAGGTTCTTTCTAAGAATTCAGCAACAAACTTATTTATTGCATTTTCAAACTCTTTTTATAAAGAAATCAAATGCTAGCTATGATATTAAATATATTCATGTCATTTTGATCTATTATATACCTTTTATAATAGTCAGCAATAACACAGAAACTGGCTTGGAAAACAATACATAATACAATGTAATATTTATGATTAAAGTAATTAAGTACTGATTGCAGTGGTATTGCTTGTTTATTTATAGAAGCAATTTAGGTTAAGTAATGAGCATATGGTCGAGTTTAACTGTACTGGATATAAACATTTATTGTCCAAATCCGTGCAAAAATTTAGAATAAAGTCAAGAATTTTGAAAAATAAATGTCACTAATGTCATAACTTTCCCCGCAACTTCAAAATAATAATTCTTTCTCAAGGTAGCCTATAAATTAATGTTTTGTTGGCTATATCCCTTAGTAAATAGTATCTATCTTCGATCAAATATATTATTTATTCATTCTAACAATTCTTTCATTAAGTTAGCAAGATTTAGCTTTAAATTTAAAGATAGATTGATATTTTGAACCTAACAAAAGGTTAGGGCACAGAACAGATAGCTTATAAACTTTGAATAAAGAATCAAAGTATACTTGTGTGGACAATTTTTAAATTGCTACTGAAAAATTATATTTTTGAGAAAAATCAAAAAAATGAAATAGAATTAAGTCGGTGAATTACTCCCAAATTTTGCTTTTCTCTACCTCTGAAAGTTCAAAAATTAAATTGAAGGAAACTCTTCATGTTCTGATTATATGTATTATTGTATCTACTGTAATTATTACTAGAAAAACTAACATCTTTATAGCAACTAACACTATTGTAACATGCATAACACGCTTTGAACATCTGCTCTCTGTAGATGCAACTAACCCTATAAGTTTTACTCTAATTGATACAAGTAAAAAAAAAAAGACAAAGCTCAAAATATACAGGAAGTTGATTGAACTTGCTTATTTAGTCTATCATGAAGCACAAATACGCGTTGAAAGGCGTCTAAATAATAGTTGAGGCAACTGCTGAACATTAACACGTTTAGCCTACACGTATTTATCAAGAACATTTATCAGATCCAGAAAGAGTTCAACACTTACAAGATGGATGGCAAGATGATGAACTGTTTCCTCCAATTTAGCTATCTACTTATAGTAGGTCTTACAGCATTACTTACAATTTAGATTCAATTAATAAAGGCGTTTATAGGGAGTCATTTTAATATCCTACTGATTATTTTAGCTCAGTATTTAGATAGGGACTGATGCAAGTATGTTTTCAGCATAAAATACAATTCTAACATAAAACTCATTAGGCATACTCTAAAATGACCTTGATGGTTAGGATATGACATACATAAGGCTTAAGCAGATCGAATGCAATCTCAAAATATAAAATTGACACAAGTCATACAATTCAGCCTAGAGGATCATGCCATATTTTATTTTTAAAACCCATAAATACAAGATGCGCATTAATGTAAATAGCAGCAGTACATATTCACAAGCGATGCTTCAAATTAAATAATTTCTTAGACTTCACATTCTACTGTTTTGTATGATGTGTAAGCTCATCGAGATTAGAGGCAAGCGTTGGCTTAAATTAAGTATTTATTTTAGTATGTTCTATTAAATAAGTTGAACAAGTGACAGTTCATTGCGATAATTTGGCGCGAGTATAAAACTACGAATAGAATAAATGGTTGAAATATCCATCGATACAACTACAGCTTTCAGTCCCATAAAGGCTAGGATATTAACACTAGTAGAACCTCATTAAATGAGCACCTCCCTAAAAATGCACATCCAGAGGAATGCTAAGCTCTTTAGCCTGAACATAAATGTACGCTTTAACACAGTATTAGTTGAATAAATGCATGGATAATAATGTGATGCAGCTCTTTACATGTTGCAGTAAGACGTAATACACAAATTATTTTAAAAATTATACCATTGAAATTATACTCATTAATTTTATTAATTGATGCATATTTCAGTTGTATCAATGTTCATATTTAAAAAAATCAGTTCATTAAGTAGACAGAGAATTGTAGCAGTTAACTAAAATAAAGTGGTTGAGAGCCTCTTGATGATAGCATAAACAGTGCAGGAAGTCTAATATTAATATAAAAATTATTACACTCCATTTATATCGTCCATACCAATATAATTGGTGGAATAACAAATGTGTTCATCGAAACAACTCTTTAATTATAGCACCAAAATCTAAAAGGAAGTAGACGATGTTACCAGTATCACTTGCAACAATACTTAAAATCTAATCAAAAAAAGAAGTATAAACTAGAATTGAAGGCTTGAAATCATTAAATATTAGCAAGTGTAATTCTATCACAAGCATATACACCCCTCAAAAAAAACACTGTTGCAAAGAATGCTTAAGCTTTTATCAAGATAATGATAAGCGTGTACCGCATGAGATATAAGTGAATGAAGATGTTTATCTACAGCATAACAGAATGAGAATATATAGTTACTTCAATCTTCATCATTCTTAATTATCTTAGACCATCTAACCCTTTATAATCATTCTACCCATTTACATTTCTCCCAAAGTATTACCCTCATTCCCTACTTTAATATACCATGTAACCCTATTTTCAACAAATGATGGGTCTCAAGATCAACTAATTTTCCTCATTAACTATTGGCACAATTCCTTTGTGTGTTAGGCATTAACCATAATACCTCTTATACATTTTCCATCTCCTAATTTCCTTCTAATCTTTGTCCGTCTATAACCATTCCCTTCTCCTCTATTTGAACTATAGTTCCCTTTCCCTTATGTATCTTTTCATACCTTCCAGTGCATTCTTACCTTTTTTGATTAGAAATCTCCAAATAGTACATAGCCTATGTCTAATAATTAACTTTTAGAACTAATACAAAGTCTCATCATTCTTCAGTAGATCAATATTTTGAAAAGAATCTTTGTTTAAAAGCTTTATAATCAACCTTGAGAACCTCCCTATATCACGCAAATCTTCTAGATGTAAACTAGAGCAATGCTTCTTTAGTCACAGATGGAATCCTCAATTCCCCAAGTTACTTTTGATCTCTATCGCTTCCTGGATGAACTACTACAACTTATTGTCTATCACTTTGTCTCTTTTATCAGTCTTATCTATTACTTGAACAATAGACTGGTCAAGCAATTACTTGATATGTTCCTTAGATATCTCGCTCCCTTCCACTCCTTTCTTTTGTCAACATTATCCTTATTCCTCTTATGTTTTGGATATACTTCTTCTAATTACTCCTTGCATTAATTATTTCTTCATCCTCTTTGTAATAGCCTCTCTTCATGAGTAAAATATATCTCTTGAGATGTAGCAATAATATGTAATTATATGAACAGTTAAGAATATCTAAAGAATTTAGATATACGAGAATAGAAATAAAAGATAAAGGAGTATTATGAATAATATTCTTTATCGATATTATAATGCCTTCCTAGTAATAATTAGAATTGCTGTTTAAAAATCACTCACAGATTATAATTGTATTGTACAGATAACATGAAATATTTAATAACTTCACTACCATTAAATCAACACATTTAAATTATTTAATTATGATAGATATAATTTATCAATCTACAGCAAACAATATTTTGATTTATGGCATAAATTTTATTTTGTTTTCTCTTAGTATTAGATTTTGAAGTGATTAATGAGAATTACAATAGATAATCCGTAGGTTTCATCTATTTTGGTTGATTATAAAATTGATATTCGATTATATTTCTTGACTAAGAGATCAATAATTCCTATTAAGAAAGCTAACCATTAACATCAGAACCACACAAAGCTAAGATTTCGTTCCAAAGATTTTGATTTATTCCTGAATAAGTACTTTAAAATCATCTTTATTAAATACCCACGGCATTAAAATTGATTAAATAATTTACTAAGTCAAACATCTTAAATGCTTATTTTAATCTATTCTTATTTAATAATTTCTCCTCATCAATAGCTGCTGTAATAAATTATATAAAATCCAATGTACCTATCTACTTTTTCAAAGATATCATTAAATATTTAATTCATTTTGGTATCATTATATTTTTTCAGATAGACTATGATTATCTTATGCTTACCTAAAATTAAATCTTCCTTCCTAATTTAACCTTTGCCATCTTTGTCTATTTTTTTTGAACTCTTAAAGCAATCTTCTTTTTCCTAATTGTCATGAAATTAGTTGAAATGATTTGCATTAATGTAGCTTTCTGCATGATTTGATATTAGTAATAGTAAGAATAGTGTACAAAAAAGGAAGCCAAATTTTTAACTGCTCTAAAATTACAATGAACCATTGGTGCATTCTTAAATCAATGGATCATTAAAAGCCTCTTAAGCTGAAATTCTTTTAGTAGAATCTAGAGTAATCATCTTACTTATCATATTTTTTGAATCATCTGATCTAGTTGTCCAATCCTCAGCTATAAACCTTAATTGAAAATAATACGTTCAAATTCTTATTTCCCTAATTGAATACTTTCTAAATCTCTTTGTCTTCTTGTCCAAATGGTGGATACCCACATAACAATAGATAAAATATCACTCCTCAACTCACCACATTTTTCATTAAAATTTCTTTTCAATACTTCAGGGGCAATATAATACAGTTCTATTCTTAAAGTTAAAAATTCAATTTTGCAAGATGTCACAAAATCAATATTTTTCAAATTCCAACTGGGTGTCATGCTTTCAAAAATGATATTTTCTGGATTTATATATGAACAAATTTTTTCTCATTCAATATATACTACACAGCCTAATATTTGTCGCATATATTCTGCAACAATTTTCTCTGTCAAAGGTTCTGGTGTGTATCTAATTATCTAATTATGCTTATAACACTTACTCATTATTAGATAATAATATTTTTCATCCGAAAATAGTTCATAAATTTTAATTATGTTAGGATGATCTTATTCTTTCAGGATATTGGTTTTTGATAGCATGTTTTTCTAGTCTACTTTAAGCAATTATCGTACACTATTTTTCTTACCAATTTCATTGCTCTTTTAAATAATGTACTTTTATGAATACCTAATCGAATCTCTCAGAATTTCCCTTAAAAATAATCATATTATTTAATACCACATCCCAATTGTTTCTCCACTCTGTAAAAATTTAGATAGAACCCTATTTGATAGTTATAACAATGTCGGTTCTTTTGTTGAATAAAATAAAAAGTTAAAATTCAGGATTGTAATTTGGAAAAGAATTCATCAAATAATCACCTAACTTCATTTAACCACAGAAGAAAATTATTATTATTGACAAAATTATAGAAATTTATTTTGAAATTAACATTCTCAAATAATGTGTGATTTTTTATGTGCTTCTTTATTCAAACCATAAATAAAAAGAATCCAATTTACTGCAATTTGATTTTGCAGTTTATAGTTATTTATACTTTTTGTGATATTTTAGAGTATGGTGCATTAGCATGTTATGCAAACGATCCAATATTTTCTTAGAATTGTTTTTTTTTTAAACATTTTTTCTTGTGATTTTGTTTAATTGATTGTGTACCAAATTAAACTTCATATGTACTTAATTACTCAGTACATACACTTATATAAGGAAATGTGTATTTTGTAAAAGTTCGAAATCCAGATATAATTTTAATTTATTAGCAGATAAAAAAATGCTCTATCTTTATTCACTTACTTCCAATCTATTCTGATTAAAAATAAAGTATTGATAAATTACTATCTATGATCATTTTAGCTTTAATTATGTGCAGATAAATTCAAGCGAAAATATCATTGTGTTGTCTTAGAATTGGTAAAGAGTTCCATATATAGATCAGCTAATGCTTTGATTTTTGTTAAGAAAGTTTCTTCAATAAAATGATTTTTTTTATTTATTATTAATTATTGAGAAGCGTCCTATATAAATATTAATTATATAATAAATCACTGGTATAAGTATATTAAATTGAATAAAAATATCGAAACCAAAGAAAACAATTTAGTGTTAAGTTTTCCTTAAATAAAGATAAAGTTCGGGGAAATTTTGATAGAAAACAAGATCAAAATATTAAATTTTCCATTCTTTAATGGCAACAACTGAGATCTGGCTATTTAAATTAAGGTCATTTTACAGAAAAACCTTTGCCAATAGTCTCAAACTATCAGACTTTTTAAAAAAGTAAATTGCAGTCTGAATGAGAATCAAATGAGTATAGTTATGTTTTTAGAAATGATTACATCTTTGTTATCTATTATATTTTATAAAATTAATCAATTTGTAAAATATATATTGAGATAGGAATTTTTTTCAAGAATTTTCTAATGGAAAGAATTCATTTTCAAAGAATTGATGATGAATATTATTGGCATAAGAAATTTAAACAGTTTAAATTTTATATTAGAAAGTTAATTTCCTCATAAATATCAGACAAGCATTAAGGGTTAATTAGGAATGGAGCACTGCAATCACTGTCTAAGATTTCAATAGTATGAATTATAAATGTTCTATATTCTATATTTATATTATAATATTGGAGATTTATGGAATTGAAATTAATACATTATAATAGTATTTGATTTAAAAAATCCTTGTAAAAAATGGTAATAATAGAATTAGAAAAAGATTTAATATTAATTTTAATTATGAATCAAGATAATGATGGAAGTGAAAATGAAGTTTCTCAGACTTAAAAATAATAGGAGTAACTATAGAAACCTGTACAGATTAAAAAAGAATATGAAGATTCAATTAATGGTTTAAACAAATAATTGAATTTGGCTGATCAATAATTCTCTTAATTGATTGATGGAATTAGATCTAAATGTCAGAAATCTACACAATAATTTCTTGACCTAAATCCTGATTACATGGATTCCTTCTTTTCAGAAAAGATAAAATTTAATTTATTTGAATAACATATCTAATTAATCTAATAATCCATAAAGGCTTTTTAAGATACAATTGAAAAATTATAAATTGACTTTAAATTAACTGAATCAGATGTTTATCAAGTGTCCAATCTAGATATTAATAAATCAGAAGAACTATATAAAACAGGTAATTTAATCGATAAAATTAGGCTATAAACTATATTTGGACGATGACAATTATGAAAAGGCGATTACAGTTCTTGATGAATCAATATTTAATAACCCAAAACATAAACTATCATTGTGGTGTAAAGGTATGATAATTAACTAATATTAAAGCTGAGAGTTTAAAAATGATTGGTTAATATGACGAAGCGATTTTTTGGGTAGATTAAGCGTTGGAAATAGATTCAGCGCATTGTTATTCATTATATTGCAAAGGTTTGATTATTATATATTGTGATAGCGGAGAGCTTAAAAATGATTGGTAAATATGCTGAATCAATCTTTTGGGCAGATAAAGCATTGAAAGTAGATCCAGATCATTGTCTTTCATTATATTGCAAAGGTATGATTATTATCTAATGTGTTAGCGGAAAATTTAAAGTTGCTTTGTAAATATGATGATGCAATAATTTGGGCAGATAAAGCGCTGCAAATAGATCCAAATCATAGTTATTCATTATGGTGCAAAGGTATAACTATTATTTTCAAGTAATAGCTGAGAGTTTAAAGTTGCTTCATAATTATAGTGAAGCAATCAATTTTGCAGATTAAGCATTGCTAATTAATCCTAATCATCTTAATTCATTACATTGCAAAAGTATGATTGTTAAAAAATATTATAGCCGAGAGTTTAATGATGCTTGGTAAGTATACTGATGCAATCGACTGGGCTGATGAAGCATTGAAAGTAGATCAAAATCATTATTATTCATTATATTGCAAAGGTAAGATTAAATTAAATGTGTTAGCAATGAGTTTAATATATCTTTATTAATTCCCTGAAGCTATGATTTAGGTCGATAAGGCGTTGCAAAATAATTCTAATCATCTTAATTCATTACATTGCAAAGGTATGTTTAGTATTTAAGTGTTAGCACAGTGTTTAAGAATGCTTGAGTAATTTAAAGAAGCAATCTTTTGGTCAGATGAAGCATTGAAAATAGATTCAAAACATTGTGAATCATTATGGTGTAAAGGTATAATCATTATTTTATATGTTAGCCGACAGCCTAAGGTTACTTGACAAATACGAGTAAGCAATCGATTTGGCAGATCAAGTGTTGCAACTAAATTCAAATCATTGTTTTTCATTCTATACCAAAGGTACGATTATAATATCGATTTTAGCTGATAGTGTAATTACTTTAATAACAATTATTGATTATAAGGTTGCTTGGCTAATATAATGATGCAATCCTTTTAGCGGATGAAGGGTTATAAATAAATCCAAATCATTGTTATCTATTATGCACAAAAGGTATCAAATATTTTTATTCTAAGGTAACTCATTAAGATAATTGAAAATGTTTGAGGAAGCTATGGAAGTAATTGAATCATCTCTATAAATCAATCAAAATTGTGTTGGCTCATTATTGGCAAAAGGTTTGACTTTTTCTAATTGATAGCTTAGTGTTTAAAAGATCAAAATTAATATTAAAAGGCTAAAAAAATTTTTGAAGAAGCCTAAAAGTTAAGGCCAAATGACTCATGGATTAAAGAATAAATAGGTAATTTATCTCTCAAATATTCAGATGCATGCGAAAAAGCTTAAATAAATGAGTGAAATATTTTTATATATAAGATTGAAAGCGCATTAACAAAATATTAAATATTTCTAAAAAGTAATCGTGATATTTAATTGTATAATTCTCTTATTGTTTCCAATTCCTATATAAGAAAATATCTTAATAATATAGTTATTGAAATTCGGTAACACTCTCCTTTTGCGACGGCCTTCATCTTGTTAATAAAAGGTCTAAAATCATCTACCAGCCATAATCATTCATACCGTTGCTTTGTAAATAGCCTCAAAATTTGATCAGAACTTACCTAAAACATTAAATAAAACCATCTTCTGGATGTTCTCTTTCAATTTGATTAAATGAGACGATTTTAAGGTTTAAACCAAGATAAACTATATATTGATATCTAATTAGATCATATAAGGGTACTTAGATTAATTCTTTCGTTTATTCAGTTGTATTTGCATAACAAATCATATCAATAAAGTTACATAACTCGAATATATATTAATGTACTAAATATTAAAATGGCAGCATAATCATCTATTAAGGAATAATAAAAGAACTATATACATATATACAACATTATAAATGTATTAAATGCAATCTTCATTTTAATAATATTATTTTAAAAACAAGTGTAGATAATTGATAAGGATTAATTTCAATTCCTAAAAATTGTAATATTATAATTTATAGTATGCATACATACAATCTTTCATTTTCTTACCTTAAGATCCTATAAGATCCTAAAATTAAGATAAATAATAATGAAAATAAAATGAAATAATTAAACCATTATAATTTTCTCTTAATAAATTTATTTTCTTTATACGCAGTTAAGTTATAAAACCATACCTAGAATGTTATTGGTGCTTTTAACAAGGAAATTAGGATTGTGTAACTTGAATTTGAAAATTATAGGTTGCTTGTTTAAAATATAATGATAAGATAGTGTAAGTTGTAGTATTTTTAGTTCGTTTAATTCCACCTTTTGGAAGATGTGAGATGTATTTTCATCCTACCTTGCCTTTCAGAAGTTTTTCTTGTATTTTGTCAAAAATATACTCTAATTGCATATTCAGAGGCATCGAAGGCTAATTAAGGTATTTTACTTTATGTTATGTGGATTCGAATTTCTTTCAGCTAATCTAAATTCTGAAAAAATTAGTTTCAATCTATTCATAGAATTGGAATTTCTACTATTCTAGCTGCCTGGAAGTTTATCATTAAGTCAAACTCAATAATTCAATTATGATACTATAAATATAACCACAAAAATCTCTAGTCCAACTCTATTTAGCAAGAAATTTTAATAGAGCAGTCAATAAATTCTTCATTATCTAATCTTAGTTGTCTTTGTAACTGCTCAAATTGTGGAGAATTTAGGATTAAATAAGAGACTGTAATGTAGTGAAGTTATTGCTTAATGAATTAATTTCATCCAATCCAGCAAATTAAGTAATTTAACTTCAACTAAAATTTTGGAATATTAAATAAAAGAGAAATGTCGACCAAATAAAGAAACTTAGAAATGCGAATGAAAGTTGAATGATATAATAAGTCGTGAGGTTTTTTCTTGGGGTGAGGATTCCTAAATTTAAAAAATTTCTTGTTTTACATAGCCTTCATACAGAGGAACTTTAATAAACCTTGTCAATATGTTTGTCTGTTTGTCCGAACAATCTCCTAACTTTTTTAAATAATAACTATGAAACTTAGAGGGTGATTAGAGTTGATGATAAAAATTCCTATGTCAATTGGCTATACATGACCTTTTCTTTTATCGAATCTAACTAGGATTAGTAATTCTGCTCATCAATTAGCCTATGATTCTCTAGTAGCCCTCTACTTTAATAATTTTGATGAGAACAATCATTTCTGTGTTTAATTGGTTTATTTCACTCTTCAAATGATCCAGCTGTTCTGGTTTATTTCTGCCTTTTCGGCTTGATCATTGACCTTTTCATTTGAATTTTAATTTTAAAACTAAATTCTCTATTAAAACTTTATTTTGTTCATTCAAATGACTTAAGCCTTCAAAAATAAAATAGTCATATAAAACAACACTTACACAAAAATGATAATTCTATGGCAGCATTATTAAAATATAGTTCATATTGTCTTTCTCCTCTTTATTAAGATGCTTTCACCGTTTCCCTCTTTTCGCTTTGTTCATTTGCTAACACAAAAGAAGCAATTAGGCTTGGAGATTTATTCTCTCATATTAATTAGTAGCAACTCTATAATTGTTTAATCAACAAGACTATTAACCAATTTAACTTAGTTATCTCGAAAGTTTTCAATTTTAATACAACTATGAGTTGTTCGTTTTTCCCATTATTTTGACCACTACTTTGAGAAATTCAATAGATTTATTTAGCGTAAGCTAAATAGAATATTCTGTTCAGAGGATTCTTATTAAGATATCTTCAATCAAAAGATACAAACTTTTATAAGCAAATTCATCCCAGTCCTTTTTGGTAGTTTCTAATATTCTACTAAATGCTCATTTACCCTTGATTTATAATAATTCACATATGATGCAAATTATAACTTCAAAATATATGGGATAACCTTTGTAACACTTACCAACATGTTAAAAATTATGCCTTAATTACATCGCAAAATACACCATTGCAGGAGCTTATTAATTTCTAGCAAATAATTCTCCTTGACTGAAGGTATAGCAGATATTTAATAACCATCTATTTCAAATTCATATTCCTTAACTGCAAAGGGTAATCCCTTTTAATCCTCTTTACCTTCACCTTAGTAACACTTATAATGAACAACTTATAAAGCAACTTTTAGCATTTAGGGAGTGAACACCAAACTGTCTTAAAATACCTGGTTTCAATCATTAATGCCTCAGTGCCAGAAAATCGCTTTTGCTTGCAATATTTACATCCTTTTAAATGTTTCCTCTAATTAACTAAAATCCTCTAGTTTGAAGCAAACCTTAGTCAAGCCTTTAGTGTTGTATTCATCTCTTGACTAAATTTATTATTGTTTCGAAACAAAAATTCTACACCATTCTCTAAAAATAATACTTAAACAAGGACATTTTTCTCTTTTGTAAAATAGTTACCTTCAAGAATAAAGCAATTTTTCAACAAAAGTTCTCTCTAGTACATCTGGGTTAGGTTTTCCTCTATCTCCACCTTCAGATCTTAAGCTTGGTAGGCCTTTTTGATATGGAAAATAAATTAGAATTAGAGCTATTTTGTCATAGCCCACTAAAATTCTTAAACTAAAGTTCGATTCTATTTCAAAAATCATTTTTATTATATAAATAGGTTGATTCGTATAACTGTAATTATATCAATTTAAGTTGAAATTATATATTTAAGTCAATATTCCTGATTTAAGATTATTTATTTAATCTAAACTACTAAGCTGATATGATTTAAGCTTAAGTCTTTGTGATTTAACCATTCTAATGGTTATTAATGATGTCCTTCTCATAATTTTGTAATAAATGAAAATAATTATTATCTGGTCTTCATAATGATTTGGTTGGTTCATCATGAATTTTTTTCTTTCCTTAATTCATAAGAGGTTTGAATTCATTTTATAGCATTAGCAGAATCGTTTTGCCACCTGCTGAGTATAATTGAATACTCTCTAAAACTTAGCTAGGTATTTCAATATTATTTAATTTATTTAATTTCTAATTACATAAACCCTTACGAGAAGCTTTAAATGGTTTAATAGAGGAAATATCTCAACAACAGAAATAGGATTAGGAGACATGAAAGTATGAAGTCATGACAGAGAAAGTGATACAACAGATTATAAAGGATGTAACCCCTAAAGTAGCGATTGGTAACGATATATAGGCAACAAGGTAGAAGACATCTCATTATATAGGGAAAGTAGAGTAATGAAAAATAAGGAATTTATGACAGCGTTCCAACCACAGATAGTAAAATGGCTGATCATCTATTATTAAATAGTTAATACATATTTCAGGACAATTAAAGCTAAATAGGCAATGAAATTTTATTAAAGAGATGTGGTTTGATTGTTCAAAGCCAAGAGATCGGCTCTATATTTGATTTTTTTGAAATTCAAATATTAAAATGAGTTTGCTTGTGAATAACAAATTTGAATGAATATGTGTGCGTCAAATTAACAGTTGAAAATATCTTATTCAAAGATGTCGAACTCTAGGATTCATGGCATCTGAAATTTTAGATTATTTGGAAGGCTAATAATTTCGTGATGAAAGATCCTTGAAATTAGAAAACTAAAGCAGAAGTAAAAATGCATAAATTAATTTAACCTAGAAATATAAGGTTTTATTAATTATTATGATTGATTTTAACCAGAAGATCGCTAATAAAAGAAATAAATTAAACAAGTTTATTCTATTATTTTTGTAGATTCAATCCAATTTACAATCAATTAAGATATAAGTTAAGAACCAAGATAATTTTGAATAAATTATTCAATCGAGTTTAAGAATTTAAGTTGATATTTAATTCATTTACAGCTGTTATCATTTTGAGGATTAAGTAGGGAACCATGAAATCTTATTTTATAAATATGTAATCATTCATCTTGATCGTCTTGCCCCTCTAATAATCCTTTGCAAATAGAATTGCCAAAATTATAATTTCACAAAAAATGCATAAGCAAAAACCTTTACATAATGTTTTCTAACATTTCCTGCAACATTTTTAACATTGAAAACATTTGAATTTAACCTCCATTAGGATTTTAAATGTGTTTAAAATCAATCTGTTTGAATAATAGATTTTACCAGTTCCCTTTTTAAGATAATAAAGCTTAGATCATAATTAGGTGATAAACTTCTGAATACATATTGGATCGAGCAATTAAAAAACTATCATCCTTTCACTCTACAGGAAGTTAAGGTAAATAGAGCTCACTCTAAATTATAGTAAATAGCCAAAGATATTGATATGCCCATAAAATGAAAATGAAATGAAGCCATATGGAACTACATGAATATAAGTATTTAGATCAATTTGAATATGAGATATATAAATTTGTGTTTAACTTTTCTATTTGATTCCATTTACTAGAAGAAAAAAACTTAAGATATATATCATTTATCATGAATAACAACTTGCAAACCAATATTATTTAATTCAATAATCAATTCAACTTACTTTTCTTTAACTTTTCCTCACATTCTAAATAGTTAATATAGTAATTATACCCTCTTTACGCTAGATCCATTCACTATTTGCGACAAGCTAAATAGCTTAACTGAAATAAAATATAGCCTCCTAATAATTTGATAATTCTTGTAAACAATATCCTACATGAACAATTGTAAAATACCTTTGTTGCATAAAAATGCTTCATCATTTGGTTTAATCTCTAAAGCTTGGTCAAAAACTTGGAGAGCTTCATTAAATTGACCCAAAGATCTTAATGAATTGCCTAAAATTAGGTAAAACAAAATGCCTTTTAAAAATAACAAATCCAAATCATTTGGACTAATCGACAAAGCTAAATCTACCAATTTAAGAGCATCATTATAATATCCAAGTAATCCTAAACTCTAAGCTAATGCATTTATCAATCTCAGAATACCTTTTATACACAGTGATTCAATATGGTTCTAATTTATATGTAAAGCTTTATCGGCCCATTTAATTGCTTCTTTATAATTTGAAAAATGCATTAAACCCTCAGCTAAATTTATCTATGACTTTTTACCCTTTATACACATTGATTCAATGTGCTTTGAGTTTAAAGATAAAATTTTATCAGCAATTTTAATTGCCTCGTTGTATTTTTTCAGCCCTAATAGGCTTTGAGCTAATTCAATTTATTTTATTTTAAACCTTTTGTAAATAATGATTCAATATGTTTTGAATCAATAAAAAGAGCTTAATCAGCCCATATAATTGCTTCTTAATAATCTTTAAGCGCTCTTAAAATGCATGCTGATTCATATGAATAGTACATCGATACCTTTTGTACTTAATGAATCAATATGCAATGAGTTTTAACTCAAAGCTTTCTCAGCCAGTTAGAATGCTTCTTAGTATTTATGAACCTTTAATAAAGATTTAGCTTTTATATCAAAAAACTTTTCTACATTTTATGTACAATGATTTCACATGATATGGATTTATTATCAAGGCTTTCTCGACCCAAATCAGCGCATCATCATAATAGCTAAGCATCATTAAACTTTATGCTAATAAATTCCAAGTTAATTTTTGTACCTTTTGAACATAATGATTCAATGTGCTTTGAATTAATAGATATAGCTTAATCAGCCCATTAGATTGCTTCTTCGTACTTTTCGAGCATTCTTAAACTGCGAGCTTATACATAAGGAATTTTATTTACATTTTGTGGATAATGACTCCACATGCTCGGGATATAAAGATAATGCTTTTTCTGCTTATATGATTGAATTATTGTAATCGCCAAGTATTCCTAAATAATAAGCTAAAGTAATTATTGATTATTTTTGTACCTTTTAAACATATGGATTCAACATGCTTTGAAGAGATAGACAACACGTTATCAATATATTTAATTGCCTTCTTGTATTCTCCAAGAAATCCTAAAACCTTAGCTAAATTTTCATCTAAGATTTTTACCTTTTACATACAGTGATTCAACATGCCCTTCAAAGTTTGATAAAGCTTTATCAGCTTATATTACTGAATCATTGTAACTACCGAGCATTGCTAAACAATAAGCTAATATAATTATGTTTAATTTGAATACCTTTAGAGCATAAAGCTTCAACATTTTTTGGATCAATAGATAAAACTTTATCAACTTATATTATTGCATCCTTGTAATTTCCAATTAATCTTAAAAACAGCCCTAATGTATGCGACCTTGATTATAATACCTTTTATGAGTAATGATTATTAATAATTCTAATTAATAAATTATTTGCTATCTAATAATTCTATTACTGCATCGTAGTTATTTTTTTCGCAATCTGAAATAACTAATTATTCCTATTTAATTATCTTGCATTAATTAAATTCTTATAGCTTGAGTAATTCAATTTTTTCCTACAACAAGAGGATCATATTCTTTTAACAATATCTGACCTAGTTCAGTATATCATGTTTAATTTCATCAAATTTTACTATTTATTCCAGAACCTCATTCATTTGCTCTTAATCTAATTGCATCAGACTCTCTATAGATATTTAAAATTTATTTTTCAATCCTTAAAAAAATTATGCAGATAATTCATCAATCTCCATTATCATCAAACCAACTTCTTTTATTAACTCTTTACAATCTTGTTCAATTTTACAGAAGTACTCCTCTAATTTATCTATACTTTTTTGATCCTTTGGATGAGAAGTGTGATCTCCTTATTATAAACATTAGAGACAGTAAATCCTATTAGCTTTACAATTTTTATTTAAGCAAACTAATTAAGCGAATTGATTTCCTTCAATGGGGCATTTAATTTAATGCTTTTGCATATAATTATTATTAATGTAATTTGCAAATAAATAGATTTAAGTATTTATTTTAAATAATTTATAGTTTAGAGAATTTAATTATCTAGACTAATAGATTTATGATTACTTTTTTATCTGACATTATGAAATGCCTTATTTAATTAAATAATTCAATAAAACTATATGAATCCGATAAAATAAAAATTCAATGGATTACATGATAAAGTATTTGATTAACAAAATTAAAAAATTGTTGTAAATTCTGACTGTAATAAAAATCATATCATAAACCTAACAAACCAACATCAATCAATAATTATGTGTTATTTTCTTAACTGCATACCAATAATATAGAAAAAAATTTACTAGTTTTTTTTAAATATATCTACTATTTTTTCACTTTTTTATGAGAAATTTTTTGAAATTGTCTTTTTTTTGTCAAAATGGATTCAATAAAATTGTTTTTGAAAATTATTGGTAATTTCTATTGTTGTTCCAAATTATCTAAAAACAGTACCCATTTAGGAATGAGCAAAAGAATAATTAAAAGATATTGTGAAAGGGTATATATTTTATAAATAATAAATGTTGATAGTAAAACATAGAAACTTTAAATAAGCTGTCAAAAATCATACTGACTGTTATTTCTGTGGTCAATTAAGTTTGGCTTAAAATTCACAATAAAACTGATTAATATAAAAATTGATTGTAGTAGTATTGGGCTATTTAAACAAGAAAGTTGTCAAGAATTTTTATTTGAATTAGTTCATAAATTCCAAATCCTAAGTTAGCAACTTTTCATATCTATTGTACTTATTAATGAAGAAATTATTAACTCCAGATTTTTCAATTAGGATCACCAATGAGATTGCTTTTCACTCAAAAATTTGAATTCTCCTGTCATTTAGCCTATTCTAAATTGTTGTTAATATTAATGTATAAAACTCAAAATTAGTATTGTTTGTGTATATAATTTTATTGGCTGATATTATCATTTACAAAAGATATATCAATTGATTATTAGCGATATTGTCCCGATATATTTGGATTAATATAATTATTGTGATTATTGAGTTATTGAATCTGACAAAATCAGATATCAAATTTATAAATGCATTTTGTTATGATGATTCAATTTAGAATGTTTATAAAATATTAAACAAATATGAATGAAGTTTGTCTCAGATAAATATTTTTACTATCATTTCCTAATCACCATTATTATACATCTTATTTCAAAAACTCTTGCTTATTTTTGCTTAATGAAAATTGATTATGTTCAAAAATTGAAATTTACTACTTTTCTGGGCCTTTCTTGATAGTTATAGGAAAAATCGTAAAGGTAGAGTTTTTCAATTTAGCCTTAATAAATAACTTGGTCACGGTTAGAATATATTTTTGTTTGATTTAGGAGAGAGCTTTATCACTGATTCATTATCTATTAGGAATTATAAGGAATGCTGATATTATATCAATAGCCATTAAGTTTATTGAAAAAATATTTAAACTAAATGATGAATATATTGATTTCAATAATTTAAATATTTTTTTGTTAAGATATAGTGGATCACTTACTTTTATGTATTTAATCTCAATATTTTGTGTAAAATATCATCATACCTGAAGAAAATGGTGTATTAGGACAATATTCTTTTAACAA